CAGCAGAGAGAGGGATATACACATTCCACATTTAGTGATATCAAATGAGCGGCTCAGCCCGAACCCACATTCAACCTAGGAGTTTTTCGGACTTGGGTCGGTCCGAATTTTTCGAATCTATAGAACAAGTCCGAAGTCCGACACTACGGAACTCGGTGGACTTCGAACCAAAATTGACACCCTAGCAATATTCTATTTCTATATCACTATATCTAATCACTGAGACTAAAGGACAATCAAAAACTCCAAAATCAAGAGCTTGACCAGTCATCTCTCATTGGGACAAATGCAAGGAGATCATCTGATGTTCTGAAAGCACTTTCATAGTTCATACCACTCTCTGCTCCTAGTCTGATCATCCTTCATATTGCAGTGTTGTTCTACGGCCATGGCTTCTTGTCTGATCACCATTCTTGAGCCGGGTTTTCTGAAAGTTGCTGCCTTTCATATGTCCAACGATACAAGCTAAAACCTGTGTCCAAGCCAAGAGTGACAATTTCATTCACCCGTTTGGAATCACACGAGTGTAAAAGAAGTATGAATAATTCAAATTTGGAGGAGAGTTTGCATAAGCCGACAACGTTGCCTGCTTCATACTTGAACGAGTCGAGGAAAAGTCCAAGGGCGAGTCCGGTCTTCCAATAGTTAAAAATGGTGATCAAGCTCCGGATCTTGTTGATCAATGGGATGGATGCTTTGTACATTAGAGCTCCAATGCCTTCAACTACAAGCACAGCCAGTGCAGCAGAAAGCACGTCCCAGTCTCCTGTTTGTCCTATAACCGTAGAGAATGCAGTTGCAGAGTAGAAACCCACCAAGAGGAAGAACACTTTCATGGGAAGATCCTTCTTTGTCTCCTGAATTTTCACCGTTATTTTTGAGCGGAGATCTAGTATGGCTTTGATTAACCGTGGTCCTCCAGAGCTATTGCTAGAGGTAGAGGATGATGGGCTAAATCCATTGTCATCCACCGAGCTCTTTATTCTCCATGACATCCTCCTGAAATTCAGAGACACACTGTATTCAATATTGTAGGGAAGAAGATTTCATAATATCTCATTAGCAATTTACACTATGGTTGTCTGAACTCTGAATCGATATCTCGCACTAAGTTGTCGAAGGCCGATTGATGAGTAAAAAAGAACGATCATGTCATCGGTCCTCCCACATAAAAGTATAAGCCACATTTAGATGTTTGAAAGGGTATTACTTGCCTGTGATGCCTGACCAAGAAAGACCGAGCCGGATGACGAAACTGGCACAAGGTACAAAACTCCCAGCCTTTGACAAGTTTCTTAGGTAAGAAATCGGGTTTCCTTCCATATTTTGGCAATGCTACCGTGATGGCAACACCCATGAAAGAACTAAACCGTACCCGCCACCCGAGTAGGATCCGGTCCTCTGACCCAGAGGTAGCAACCTCCTAAAACCCAGAAAAATTTCAAAATATCACTCCACAAATACATCAATGTTAGATTAAAATAGCATCTTTGATGACAAAATCCAGGTATCTGATTCCAACCCCTGTATATGACCAGATGACGCCGCCGGAAAACAAAAACAAGTTAAAAAAACCCGACTTTCAATTCAAAAGACACTGGATTTTCAGCAATAATTCTCAAGCAGAGGGTTCAATCTACACACACAAAAGACATACAATTAGGTGCCACACAGCTTCATTTACAGCACATATACAATACAATTACTCCATCTTGAATACGGATTAATTGCATAAAAAAGGTGGAGAGGCAAAACATCATTGAGGCATTGTCACGAATACCTTGCACGCAACGCTGAAAAGAAAACCCTAAACTTTCCCAGCTCCGTAAATCCCTCCAAAAACACATTACATCAAATCGAGTAAAAAACCCAATTCCATATTCTACTAATCATAAATGATATCCGTGGAAACCAATTTGGACTCGAAGCAGAGAAAGAGAGATAAAAATCGTACCTTTCACGTTTTCCCGGCCATCTTTTAGGCGCAGGGCCAAGAGGGTGACGGAGCGAGAGAGGATAAACGGAATAAAGCGAGGAAGCAACGCCTACCCACGTCGGATCTGATGTCACTACACGTGCCACGTGGATCGAACCTGAACGACGTCGTTTCGGTGGTAACGCGTTAGTTATATCCATATTCGGTTATTTTGGTTTTAAGTAACCCCTGGATTATCACATCGAATTAGATTCATTATATTCGGTTTTGTTTTTGGTTATTATTGATAAAAATATTCATTTTTAGAAATATTTCGGTTATTAGGTTTGATTCGAATTTCAATTCGTTTGTTTTTCGTAAAATTATAAATACTGGGTTAATATAGTAGGGTTTGGTTCGCCGATCCATTTTGTTATTCGGTTATTAACAAATAAGGCAGCCCTATGACGCACACGTTTGAACGGCTGCGATCCATCTGAACGCGGATACTACGGTTGCCGATTTTCTTTCGGATAATCTTCTGTGCAGCTTGATCGGAAATCGAGCCGAAGATGCTTGCTTGTTTGGTAAGAAAGCGGATGAAATTTTCGGGGAATTTAGTCCAGACCTGGAAACTCGGCGGCGTGGGAGCGAGCGCAAGGGGTCGGAGAAGGATGAGCAGCGGAGCGGAAGCGGTGGTGGCGAAGGAGAGGGCGGACTGCGTGGTTATAGGCGCCGGAGTTTTGGGTTTGGCGGTGGCGCGTGAGCTCAGTCGCCGCGGCAGGGAAGTCCTGGTCTTGGACGCCGCCGCGAGTTTTGGCGCCGCCACCAGCTCCCGCAACAGCGAAGTCGTCCATGCCGGAATCTATTATCCACCCAACTCCCTCAAGGTCAAAATTCCTCCTCTAGGGTTGCTTTCACAATTCGCTACTTCAAAGAGCAATAGGGCTTGTATTGGTTATAGTTCAAGATTCATCCATTGTGCATTCAAACGATATCTGCTAAGTCATTACTTCTCAGGTTGTGGTATTGGTATATATCCTGAGAGTGAGAGTATGATATGAACAGTGCATCATTTGATCTGGGCATTGAATTCACAGGCCAAATTCTGTGTGAGAGGGAGGGAATTGCTGTATAGGTACTGCTCAGAACATGGGATCCCACACAGGAAGATGGGTAAGCTCATAGTGGCAACAGGAGCATCTGAAATACCAAAACTGGATCTGTTGATGCATCTCGGAACTCAGAACGGGGTCGCGGGCCTCAGGATGTTGGAGGGTTTCGAAGCCATGAGAATGGAACCTCGGCTCCGATGCGTGAAAGCATTGCTGTCTCCTGAATCTGGGATTCTTGATACTCATTCCCTCATGCTTTCTCTAGTGGTATGTATATAAATCCACCTGCTCGATCGTGTATGCATCTTCCTAATGCTTTTGCCTAGACAAAGAGTTTTTGATTCCATGGTTCACAGGGGTAATAAACAAACTTCAGGGTGAGGCTGAAACCGGCAAGACAACCTTCTCGTATAACACTACAGTCTTAGGTGGTCGGGTTGAAGGGAATCAGATACATTTGCATGTTGCCGAAACAAGATCTCTTGAATCATGGAATGGAGGGGAGTCTTTGTCACAGATGCAGCAGCTCGAGCTTATACCTAATCTCGTTGTTAACTCTGCGGGTTTAGCTGCACAAGCTCTCACAAAGAGATTCCATGGCATCAACCATCGTGTCATTCCTCCCTCCCATTATGCCCGTGGCTGCTACTTCATGCTCTCGGGCTCCAGAGGTCCTCCTTTCGACCACCTTGTGTATCCCATTCCCGAGGAAGGTGGTCTCGGTGTCCATTTCACGGTAGATTTGACCGGACAGGTCAAGTTTGGACCTGATGTAGAGTGGATTGATGGTGTAGACGATATATCGAGCTTCCTTAACAGGTAACTCCTCTCTCTTTTTCATATTTCTTGAAGCAAACTTTGTTTCGGATTCAAGGTACTTATACTTTCCAAGTTGTTGAATCCAGATTTGATTATGTTGTAAATCCGAAACGGGCAGAGAAATTCTACCCAGAAATCAGAAAGTACTATCCCGAGCTCAAAGATGAATCGCTGGAGCCAGGTTATTCGGGTATCCGGCCGAAACTTTCCGGTCCAAAACAGCCTCCAGCAGATTTTGTCATACAGGTAAAACCTACCTATCTTGTCCTGTATCTGATCCTAAGGACCCTTCTTATATAAACACGGGTTCTATTCTTGGCAACCTAGTTTTACTTGGCTAAAGCCCTATCAGAGTACTATGCCTGCACTAAAGCATGATCATTGAATCTGGTTAATGCAGGGAGGGGAAAGTCATGGGGTTCATGGGCTTGTTAATCTCTTTGGAATCGAATCACCGGGCTTCACTTCGAGCTTGGCTATTGCAGAACATATAGCCACCAGATTCTTGAAATGATTCTGCCTTCTACAACATCAACTTAAAAACTCTGAAAACTTGTTGTCTGAAACGATTTTTTTTTTTTGTGTGTGTGTTGCATCATATGATTGTGTCAGTCAATGTACTACTACACTTTGTGAAAATCTCATCAATGATCAAAGGCAAGAAAGTTTGCGACAGCTGAGCATAGAGTGTTCTGAATGCACAAAGAAAGAAAGATCCCTTTTTTTTCCCCTCTTCTCTTTTGTTATTTCCCCCCAGTTTTACAAGGCAAACACAAAGGAACTGACGCAGAGAAGAGAAGGGTGGAGAGGTTCAGAAAGGGGCAGAGCTCGTCCGCTGCAACTGCCGCTTTGGATCGGGTGGTGGTGGTGCACTCGGAAGGACCTTCTCCACTTCCTGTCCAGTTTATACACAGACAGAGGCCAAGTGAGCTAAAAAAAACACTGAAAAAGGTAACTGTCTGATCAAACAACTCTATACAGAATTGAAGATTTATAAAGATCTGCTTCAGCTAACACCAGCAATATCAAGAGGATTTGTCAGACTTGATTCCCCAGAACTAACAAATCGGTTTTCGTCCTCCTCCGGTGCCAGGCGATGAACTATAGAAAACGCAGCAAAACGACGTCGCAATCAGTCATTTGCTCTATTACTATCATCCTCACCAGTTGCAGGATCTTAAACCTTGGACAAACGCTTCAATACCTCGAATGTTAAAACAATATCTCCTATTCCATTGCTACCCATATCCTAAAATCCATACAAAACTTCATAACTAGTAAAATGCAGTGAATAGGAAAGTAACAATGGCAAGGTCATGACCCAAGGCTTTCCTATACCTTTTGTCTCCTTAATCTCTTATTCTCTTCCTCTAACTGCAAAACCTTGATCTCGAGCTCATGGGTGTAAGCCTGCTCATCATTGCTCAGTCAGAAGCAGAATAAAAAAACATGGGACTTAACCAATGGAAGTCACTCTCTCACCTGCTTCCTGGCTCGTGAACGAGCAGCAGACTCTCTGTTCTTGATCATTCTCTTCTGCCTCCTCTCTACTGTCTTCCCCACAACATCTCCAGATGCCACCCTATTCCGGCCAGGTGCCTGTGTATCTGACAACCCACCCATCATTGCCTGCATTTCTGAAACTGGGTATGGCATAAACGCTTGGTATTGCAGCCAAGGGCCGTGCTGAGGAATGTGTTGCCCTAAACCAGTAGGACAAGAACCTCCATTACCGGCCTCGTTCGGATCAGGGATTGTTTCTGTCACCACCCCGGCCTTCAACAACAAGTCCTCGAGCGTCATTTCACCGAGCGTCGTCGACTGCTTCTGCCTCTTATCTTTCCTCTCTTGGGCACTGCCTCCTCTCTTGCTCTGCTGAATCTCTCTCCAGACCTCATCAACTGTCTTCTTGCTAAGTTCGCCGGGCAAAGTCAAGCTTCCCTGGCGAGACAGGCCTTGTGCCGGGACATTGACCGGTGATTGGTTAGCTTCAGCAGACCAGACACTCTTGAGCAGTTCGTCGAGGTTCATGCTTCCAAGAGGCTTCCCCGAACTTGCCAAGTGGGTTTGAACCTCGCCGAGTGTTAAGCTATAGAGAGAACCTTGCCTGGGCAATGTCTGAGATTTAGGGTCTTCCATAACGCCACGCTGAGACCCCATCACCATGAAACTCCAGATAGAACAATAATGGCTATGTCTGAAAAATCGGACACTCTTAATGGCTATATCTGAAAATTTTTACCCACCAGCCATTTCGAATCAGCAAAGAAAAAGGGGAACAGAAAGATTATCTCTTTCTAGGGTGTGTAATCGTAGGACATGCGAGCTAGAGGAAGAACCAAACAAGCGGGGAGAGACGAGGAAAAGGAAGACCCATATCAGAAATCCAGTCGTATCGGCGGATAAAGAGAAGGGATCACCAGAACATGAGAAATCCGAAAGAAAACTGGAAATTGCATGCAGGCATTCGAACCCAGATGTTAAATGTCGGGCTCGGGACAACAGGAATGACAAAAATGGGAAGAGAGAGAGAGAGAGAGAGAGAGAGAGGCAGAGGGAATAAACAAACAGAGGAAGAGGTTTCTGCAGATCAAACAAAAAAGAAAGATTAAATCTAAGACAAGGTGAGAGCTTTAAAACCAGATCTAAATTTCGGAACAAAAGAAGAAGTTGGGTCCCTTTTTTCCAGAAGAGTGAGAGTGGGACACCTTCGGTCAGCGAAGAAACCACAACTCTCTCTCTCTTTCTCTCTCTCGATCGATGAAGTAAGAGAGAGAATCTTTTGTGACAGTGACACTGCAGGTACAGTGGCAAAACCCTTTTAAAGGAAATGTAAATGAGCTCTCTTTTGGAGTAAACAAGACATGGGTTATACTTTTACGCAATCTTTCCTTGTTTGGATCAGATCCAATGTCTCCTCCAATCCATTGCCTGTCAAATTAATTCTCGATTCAGGAAGCCACTTTTGCCCAAACATAAAGATGGATCTAAAGTCTGAACTGTCTGGTATTGTTTTCCGCCTATGATGTCTTAATTCGGCAATAGTCAAAGGTTTGTATGGAATTTAAAAACTTTACCATTTTTTAACAGCACAATAGAATCTTGAAATGGCCCTTTCTAGGAATGTTTCTTAAGATTTCAATCAATCTCGACAGGGGCAGAGCTCGTCCGCTGCAACTGCCGCTTTGGATCGGGTGGTGGTGGTGCACTCGGAAGGACCTTCTCCACTTCCTGTCCAGTTTATACACAGACAGAGGCCAAGTGAGCTAAAAAAAACACTGAAAAAGGTAACTGTCTGATCAAACAACTCTATACAGAATTGAAGATTTATAAAGATCTGCTTCAGCTAACACCAGCAATATCAAGAGGATTTGTCAGACTTGATTCCCCAGAACTAACAAATCGGTTTTCGTCCTCCTCCGGTGCCAGGCGATGAACTATAGAAAACGCAGCAAAACGACGTCGCAATCAGTCATTTGCTCTATTACTATCATCCTCACCAGTTGCAGGATCTTAAACCTTGGACAAACGCTTCAATACCTCGAATGTTAAAACAATATCTCCTATTCCATTGCTACCCATATCCTAAAATCCATACAAAACTTCATAACTAGTAAAATGCAGTGAATAGGAAAGTAACAATGGCAAGGTCATGACCCAAGGCTTTCCTATACCTTTTGTCTCCTTAATCTCTTATTCTCTTCCTCTAACTGCAAAACCTTGATCTCGAGCTCATGGGTGTAAGCCTGCTCATCATTGCTCAGTCAGAAGCAGAATAAAAAAACATGGGACTTAACCAATGGAAGTCACTCTCTCACCTGCTTCCTGGCTCGTGAACGAGCAGCAGACTCTCTGTTCTTGATCATTCTCTTCTGCCTCCTCTCTACTGTCTTCCCCACAACATCTCCAGATGCCACCCTATTCCGGCCAGGTGCCTGTGTATCTGACAACCCACCCATCATTGCCTGCATTTCTGAAACTGGGTATGGCATAAACGCTTGGTATTGCAGCCAAGGGCCGTGCTGAGGAATGTGTTGCCCTAAACCAGTAGGACAAGAACCTCCATTACCGGCCTCGTTCGGATCAGGGATTGTTTCTGTCACCACCCCGGCCTTCAACAACAAGTCCTCGAGCGTCATTTCACCGAGCGTCGTCGACTGCTTCTGCCTCTTATCTTTCCTCTCTTGGGCACTGCCTCCTCTCTTGCTCTGCTGAATCTCTCTCCAGACCTCATCAACTGTCTTCTTGCTAAGTTCGCCGGGCAAAGTCAAGCTTCCCTGGCGAGACAGGCCTTGTGCCGGGACATTGACCGGTGATTGGTTAGCTTCAGCAGACCAGACACTCTTGAGCAGTTCGTCGAGGTTCATGCTTCCAAGAGGCTTCCCCGAACTTGCCAAGTGGGTTTGAACCTCGCCGAGTGTTAAGCTATAGAGAGAACCTTGCCTGGGCAATGTCTGAGATTTAGGGTCTTCCATAACGCCACGCTGAGACCCCATCACCATGAAACTCCAGATAGAACAATAATGGCTATGTCTGAAAAATCGGACACTCTTAATGGCTATATCTGAAAATTTTTACCCACCAGCCATTTCGAATCAGCAAAGAAAAAGGGGAACAGAAAGATTATCTCTTTCTAGGGTGTGTAATCGTAGGACATGCGAGCTAGAGGAAGAACCAAACAAGCGGGGAGAGACGAGGAAAAGGAAGACCCATATCAGAAATCCAGTCGTATCGGCGGATAAAGAGAAGGGATCACCAGAACATGAGAAATCCGAAAGAAAACTGGAAATTGCATGCAGGCATTCGAACCCAGATGTTAAATGTCGGGCTCGGGACAACAGGAATGACAAAAATGGGAAGAGAGAGAGAGAGAGAGAGAGAGAGAGGCAGAGGGAATAAACAAACAGAGGAAGAGGTTTCTGCAGATCAAACAAAAAAGAAAGATTAAATCTAAGACAAGGTGAGAGCTTTAAAACCAGATCTAAATTTCGGAACAAAAGAAGAAGTTGGGTCCCTTTTTTCCAGAAGAGTGAGAGTGGGACACCTTCGGTCAGCGAAGAAACCACAACTCTCTCTCTCTTTCTCTCTCTCGATCGATGAAGTAAGAGAGAGAATCTTTTGTGACAGTGACACTGCAGGTACAGTGGCAAAACCCTTTTAAAGGAAATGTAAATGAGCTCTCTTTTGGAGTAAACAAGACATGGGTTATACTTTTACGCAATCTTTCCTTGTTTGGATCAGATCCAATGTCTCCTCCAATCCATTGCCTGTCAAATTAATTCTCGATTCAGGAAGCCACTTTTGCCCAAACATAAAGATGGATCTAAAGTCTGAACTGTCTGGTATTGTTTTCCGCCTATGATGTCTTAATTCGGCAATAGTCAAAGGTTTGTATGGAATTTAAAAACTTTACCATTTTTTAACAGCACAATAGAATCTTGAAATGGCCCTTTCTAGGAATGTTTCTTAAGATTTCAATCAATCTCGACAGGGGCAGAGCTCGTCCGCTGCAACTGCCGCTTTGGATCGGGTGGTGGTGGTGCACTCGGAAGGACCTTCTCCACTTCCTGTCCAGTTTATACACAGACAGAGGCCAAGTGAGCTAAAAAAAACACTGAAAAAGGTAACTGTCTGATCAAACAACTCTATACAGAATTGAAGATTTATAAAGATCTGCTTCAGCTAACACCAGCAATATCAAGAGGATTTGTCAGACTTGATTCCCCAGAACTAACAAATCGGTTTTCGTCCTCCTCCGGTGCCAGGCGATGAACTATAGAAAACGCAGCAAAACGACGTCGCAATCAGTCATTTGCTCTATTACTATCATCCTCACCAGTTGCAGGATCTTAAACCTTGGACAAACGCTTCAATACCTCGAATGTTAAAACAATATCTCCTATTCCATTGCTACCCATATCCTAAAATCCATACAAAACTTCATAACTAGTAAAATGCAGTGAATAGGAAAGTAACAATGGCAAGGTCATGACCCAAGGCTTTCCTATACCTTTTGTCTCCTTAATCTCTTATTCTCTTCCTCTAACTGCAAAACCTTGATCTCGAGCTCATGGGTGTAAGCCTGCTCATCATTGCTCAGTCAGAAGCAGAATAAAAAAACATGGGACTTAACCAATGGAAGTCACTCTCTCACCTGCTTCCTGGCTCGTGAACGAGCAGCAGACTCTCTGTTCTTGATCATTCTCTTCTGCCTCCTCTCTACTGTCTTCCCCACAACATCTCCAGATGCCACCCTATTCCGGCCAGGTGCCTGTGTATCTGACAACCCACCCATCATTGCCTGCATTTCTGAAACTGGGTATGGCATAAACGCTTGGTATTGCAGCCAAGGGCCGTGCTGAGGAATGTGTTGCCCTAAACCAGTAGGACAAGAACCTCCATTACCGGCCTCGTTCGGATCAGGGATTGTTTCTGTCACCACCCCGGCCTTCAACAACAAGTCCTCGAGCGTCATTTCACCGAGCGTCGTCGACTGCTTCTGCCTCTTATCTTTCCTCTCTTGGGCACTGCCTCCTCTCTTGCTCTGCTGAATCTCTCTCCAGACCTCATCAACTGTCTTCTTGCTAAGTTCGTTCACAGGGGTAATAAACAAACTTCAGGGTGAGGCTGAAACCGGCAAGACAACCTTCTCGTATAACACTACAGTCTTAGGTGGTCGGGTTGAAGGGAATCAGATACATTTGCATGTTGCCGAAACAAGATCTCTTGAATCATGGAATGGAGGGGAGTCTTTGTCACAGATGCAGCAGCTCGAGCTTATACCTAATCTCGTTGTTAACTCTGCGGGTTTAGCTGCACAAGCTCTCACAAAGAGATTCCATGGCATCAACCATCGTGTCATTCCTCCCTCCCATTATGCCCGTGGCTGCTACTTCATGCTCTCGGGCTCCAGAGGTCCTCCTTTCGACCACCTTGTGTATCCCATTCCCGAGGAAGGTGGTCTCGGTGTCCATTTCACGGTAGATTTGACCGGACAGGTCAAGTTTGGACCTGATGTAGAGTGGATTGATGGTGTAGACGATATATCGAGCTTCCTTAACAGGTAACTCCTCTCTCTTTTTCATATTTCTTGAAGCAAACTTTGTTTCGGATTCAAGGTACTTATACTTTCCAAGTTGTTGAATCCAGATTTGATTATGTTGTAAATCCGAAACGGGCAGAGAAATTCTACCCAGAAATCAGAAAGTACTATCCCGAGCTCAAAGATGAATCGCTGGAGCCAGGTTATTCGGGTATCCGGCCGAAACTTTCCGGTCCAAAACAGCCTCCAGCAGATTTTGTCATACAGGTAAAACCTACCTATCTTGTCCTGTATCTGATCCTAAGGACCCTTCTTATATAAACACGGGTTCTATTCTTGGCAACCTAGTTTTACTTGGCTAAAGCCCTATCAGAGTACTATGCCTGCACTAAAGCATGATCATTGAATCTGGTTAATGCAGGGAGGGGAAAGTCATGGGGTTCATGGGCTTGTTAATCTCTTTGGAATCGAATCACCGGGCTTCACTTCGAGCTTGGCTATTGCAGAACATATAGCCACCAGATTCTTGAAATGATTCTGCCTTCTACAACATCAACTTAAAAACTCTGAAAACTTGTTGTCTGAAACGATTTTTTTTTTTTGTGTGTGTGTTGCATCATATGATTGTGTCAGTCAATGTACTACTACACTTTGTGAAAATCTCATCAATGATCAAAGGCAAGAAAGTTTGCGACAGCTGAGCATAGAGTGTTCTGAATGCACAAAGAAAGAAAGATCCCTTTTTTTTCCCCTCTTCTCTTTTGTTATTTCCCCCCAGTTTTACAAGGCAAACACAAAGGAACTGACGCAGAGAAGAGAAGGGTGGAGAGGTTCAGAAAGGGGCAGAGCTCGTCCGCTGCAACTGCCGCTTTGGATCGGGTGGTGGTGGTGCACTCGGAAGGACCTTCTCCACTTCCTGTCCAGTTTATACACAGACAGAGGCCAAGTGAGCTAAAAAAAACACTGAAAAAGGTAACTGTCTGATCAAACAACTCTATACAGAATTGAAGATTTATAAAGATCTGCTTCAGCTAACACCAGCAATATCAAGAGGATTTGTCAGACTTGATTCCCCAGAACTAACAAATCGGTTTTCGTCCTCCTCCGGTGCCAGGCGATGAACTATAGAAAACGCAGCAAAACGACGTCGCAATCAGTCATTTGCTCTATTACTATCATCCTCACCAGTTGCAGGATCTTAAACCTTGGACAAACGCTTCAATACCTCGAATGTTAAAACAATATCTCCTATTCCATTGCTACCCATATCCTAAAATCCATACAAAACTTCATAACTAGTAAAATGCAGTGAATAGGAAAGTAACAATGGCAAGGTCATGACCCAAGGCTTTCCTATACCTTTTGTCTCCTTAATCTCTTATTCTCTTCCTCTAACTGCAAAACCTTGATCTCGAGCTCATGGGTGTAAGCCTGCTCATCATTGCTCAGTCAGAAGCAGAATAAAAAAACATGGGACTTAACCAATGGAAGTCACTCTCTCACCTGCTTCCTGGCTCGTGAACGAGCAGCAGACTCTCTGTTCTTGATCATTCTCTTCTGCCTCCTCTCTACTGTCTTCCCCACAACATCTCCAGATGCCACCCTATTCCGGCCAGGTGCCTGTGTATCTGACAACCCACCCATCATTGCCTGCATTTCTGAAACTGGGTATGGCATAAACGCTTGGTATTGCAGCCAAGGGCCGTGCTGAGGAATGTGTTGCCCTAAACCAGTAGGACAAGAACCTCCATTACCGGCCTCGTTCGGATCAGGGATTGTTTCTGTCACCACCCCGGCCTTCAACAACAAGTCCTCGAGCGTCATTTCACCGAGCGTCGTCGACTGCTTCTGCCTCTTATCTTTCCTCTCTTGGGCACTGCCTCCTCTCTTGCTCTGCTGAATCTCTCTCCAGACCTCATCAACTGTCTTCTTGCTAAGTTCGTTCACAGGGGTAATAAACAAACTTCAGGGTGAGGCTGAAACCGGCAAGACAACCTTCTCGTATAACACTACAGTCTTAGGTGGTCGGGTTGAAGGGAATCAGATACATTTGCATGTTGCCGAAACAAGATCTCTTGAATCATGGAATGGAGGGGAGTCTTTGTCACAGATGCAGCAGCTCGAGCTTATACCTAATCTCGTTGTTAACTCTGCGGGTTTAGCTGCACAAGCTCTCACAAAGAGATTCCATGGCATCAACCATCGTGTCATTCCTCCCTCCCATTATGCCCGTGGCTGCTACTTCATGCTCTCGGGCTCCAGAGGTCCTCCTTTCGACCACCTTGTGTATCCCATTCCCGAGGAAGGTGGTCTCGGTGTCCATTTCACGGTAGATTTGACCGGACAGGTCAAGTTTGGACCTGATGTAGAGTGGATTGATGGTGTAGACGATATATCGAGCTTCCTTAACAGGTAACTCCTCTCTCTTTTTCATATTTCTTGAAGCAAACTTTGTTTCGGATTCAAGGTACTTATACTTTCCAAGTTGTTGAATCCAGATTTGATTATGTTGTAAATCCGAAACGGGCAGAGAAATTCTACCCAGAAATCAGAAAGTACTATCCCGAGCTCAAAGATGAATCGCTGGAGCCAGGTTATTCGGGTATCCGGCCGAAACTTTCCGGTCCAAAACAGCCTCCAGCAGATTTTGTCATACAGGTAAAACCTACCTATCTTGTCCTGTATCTGATCCTAAGGACCCTTCTTATATAAACACGGGTTCTATTCTTGGCAACCTAGTTTTACTTGGCTAAAGCCCTATCAGAGTACTATGCCTGCACTAAAGCATGATCATTGAATCTGGTTAATGCAGGGAGGGGAAAGTCATGGGGTTCATGGGCTTGTTAATCTCTTTGGAATCGAATCACCGGGCTTCACTTCGAGCTTGGCTATTGCAGAACATATAGCCACCAGATTCTTGAAATGATTCTGCCTTCTACAACATCAACTTAAAAACTCTGAAAACTTGTTGTCTGAAACGATTTTTTTTTTTTGTGTGTGTGTTGCATCATATGATTGTGTCAGTCAATGTACTACTACACTTTGTGAAAATCTCATCAATGATCAAAGGCAAGAAAGTTTGCGACAGCTGAGCATAGAGTGTTCTGAATGCACAAAGAAAGAAAGATCCCTTTTTTTTCCCCTCTTCTCTTTTGTTATTTCCCCCCAGTTTTACAAGGCAAACACAAAGGAACTGACGCAGAGAAGAGAAGGGTGGAGAGGTTCAGAAAGGGGCAGAGCTCGTCCGCTGCAACTGCCGCTTTGGATCGGGTGGTGGTGGTGCACTCGGAAGGACCTTCTCCACTTCCTGTCCAGTTTATACACAGACAGAGGCCAAGTGAGCTAAAAAAAACACTGAAAAAGGTAACTGTCTGATCAAACAACTCTATACAGAATTGAAGATTTATAAAGATCTGCTTCAGCTAACACCAGCAATATCAAGAGGATTTGTCAGACTTGATTCCCCAGAACTAACAAATCGGTTTTCGTCCTCCTCCGGTGCCAGGCGATGAACTATAGAAAACGCAGCAAAACGACGTCGCAATCAGTCATTTGCTCTATTACTATCATCCTCACCAGTTGCAGGATCTTAAACCTTGGACAAACGCTTCAATACCTCGAATGTTAAAACAATATCTCCTATTCCATTGCTACCCATATCCTAAAATCCATACAAAACTTCATAACTAGTAAAATGCAGTGAATAGGAAAGTAACAATGGCAAGGTCATGACCCAAGGCTTTCCTATACCTTTTGTCTCCTTAATCTCTTATTCTCTTCCTCTAACTGCAAAACCTTGATCTCGAGCTCATGGGTGTAAGCCTGCTCATCATTGCTCAGTCAGAAGCAGAATAAAAAAACATGGGACTTAACCAATGGAAGTCACTCTCTCACCTGCTTCCTGGCTCGTGAACGAGCAGCAGACTCTCTGTTCTTGATCATTCTCTTCTGCCTCCTCTCTACTGTCTTCCCCACAACATCTCCAGATGCCACCCTATTCCGGCCAGGTGCCTGTGTATCTGACAACCCACCCATCATTGCCTGCATTTCTGAAACTGGGTATGGCATAAACGCTTGGTATTGCAGCCAAGGGCCGTGCTGAGGAATGTGTTGCCCTAAACCAGTAGGACAAGAACCTCCATTACCGGCCTCGTTCGGATCAGGGATTGTTTCTGTCACCACCCCGGCCTTCAACAACAAGTCCTCGAGCGTCATTTCACCGAGCGTCGTCGACTGCTTCTGCCTCTTATCTTTCCTCTCTTGGGCACTGCCTCCTCTCTTGCTCTGCTGAATCTCTCTCCAGACCTCATCAACTGTCTTCTTGCTAAGTTCGTTCACAGGGGTAATAAACAAACTTCAGGGTGAGGCTGAAACCGGCAAGACAACCTTCTCGTATAACACTACAGTCTTAGGTGGTCGGGTTGAAGGGAATCAGATACATTTGCATGTTGCCGAAACAAGATCTCTTGAATCATGGAATGGAGGGGAGTCTTTGTCACAGATGCAGCAGCTCGAGCTTATACCTAATCTCGTTGTTAACTCTGCGGGTTTAGCTGCACAAGCTCTCACAAAGAGATTCCATGGCATCAACCATCGTGTCATTCCTCCCTCCCATTATGCCCGTGGCTGCTACTTCATGCTCTCGGGCTCCAGAGGTCCTCCTTTCGACCACCTTGTGTATCCCATTCCCGAGGAAGGTGGTCTCGGTGTCCATTTCACGGTAGATTTGACCGGACAGGTCAAGTTTGGACCTGATGTAGAGTGGATTGATGGTGTAGACGATATATCGAGCTTCCTTAACAGGTAACTCCTCTCTCTTTTTCATATTTCTTGAAGCAAACTTTGTTTCGGATTCAAGGTACTTATACTTTCCAAGTTGTTGAATCCAGATTTGATTATGTTGTAAATCCGAAACGGGCAGAGAAATTCTACCCAGAAATCAGAAAGTACTATCCCGAGCTCAAAGATGAATCGCTGGAGCCAGGTTATTCGGGTATCCGGCCGAAACTTTCCGGTCCAAAACAGCCTCCAGCAGATTTTGTCATACAGGTAAACCCTACCTATCTTGTCCTGTATCTGATCCTAAGGACCCTTCTTATATAAACACGGGTTCTATTCTTGGCAACCTAGTTTTACTTGGCTAAAGCCCTATCAGAGTACTATGCCTGCACTAAAGCATGATCATTGAATCTGGTTAATGCAGGGAGGGGAAAGTCATGGGGTTCATGGGCTTGTTAATCTCTTTGGAATCGAATCACCGGGCTTCACTTCGAGCTTGGCTATTGCAGAACATATAGCCACCAGATTCTTGAAATGATTCTGCCTTCTACAACATCAACTTAAAAACTCTGAAAACTTGTTGTCTGAAACGATTTTTTTTTTTTGTGTGTGTGTTGCATCATATGATTGTGTCAGTCAATGTACTACTACACTTTGTGAAAATCTCATCAATGATCAAAGGCAAGAAAGTTTGCGACAGCTGAGCATAGAGTGTTCTGAATGCACAAAGAAAGAAAGATCCCTTTTTTTTCCCCTCTTCTCTTTTGTTATTTCCCCCCAGTTTTACAAGGCAAACACAAAGGAACTGACGCAGAGAAGAGAAGGGTGGAGAGGTTCAGAAAGGGGCAGAGCTCGTCCGCTGCAACTGCCGCTTTGGATCGGGTGGTGGTGGTGCACTCGGAAGGACCTTCTCCACTTCCTGTCCAGTTTATACACAGACAGAGGCCAAGTGAGCTAAAAAAAACACTGAAAAAGGTAACTGTCTGATCAAACAACTCTATACAGAATTGAAGATTTATAAAGATCTGCTTCAGCTAACACCAGCAATATCAAGAGGATTTGTCAGACTTGATTCCCCAGAACTAACAAATCGGTTTTCGTCCTCCTCCGGTGCCAGGCGATGAACTATAGAAAACGCAGCAAAACGACGTCGCAATCAGTCATTTGCTCTATTACTATCATCCTCACCAGTTGCAGGATCTTAAACCTTGGACAAACGCTTCAATACCTCGAATGTTAAAACAATATCTCCTATTCCATTGCTACCCATATCCTAAAATCCATACAAAACTTCATAACTAGTAAAATGCAGTGAATAGGAAAGTAACAATGGCAAGGTCATGACCCAAGGCTTTCCTATACCTTTTGTCTCCTTAATCTCTTATTCTCTTCCTCTAACTGCAAAACCTTGATCTCGAGCTCATGGGTGTAAGCCTGCTCATCATTGCTCAGTCAGAAGCAGAATAAAAAAACATGGGACTTAACCAATGGAAGTCACTCTCTCACCTGCTTCCTGATAATAATAATAATAATTATTATTATTATTATTATTATTATTATTATTATTATTATTATTATTATTATTATTATTATTATTATTATTATTATTCATGTGTTTTTTCTTCTCTTAATCTCACTAGATCGAACTGAGCGACTTGCAGAGAAACGAATGCCTTCAATGCCATTGGTTTTCAATTATTAATTTCCAAATGAATATTTAAAAATAAAAAACTCGCATAAAACCAAAAATGATTAACTACGAATATCTAATCAACTTGTCAAAATAATTAGGGGTGTGCGTTTTAATTCGGTTCCGAAGAACAGAACCGAACTGGAAAATACGTCCGGGCTCGTGAACGAGCAGCAGACTCTCTGTTCTTGATCATTCTCTTCTGCCTCCTCTCTACTGTCTTCCCCACAACATCTCCAGATGCCACCCTATTCCGGCCAGGTGCCTGTGTATCTGACAACCCACCCATCATTGCCTGCATTTCTGAAACTGGGTATGGCATAAACGCTTGGTATTGCAGCCAAGGGCCGTGCTGAGGAATGTGTTGCCCTAAACCAGTAGGACAAGAACCTCCATTACCGGCCTCGTTCGGATCAGGGATTGTTTCTGTCACCACCCCGGCCTTCAACAACAAGTCCTCGAGCGTCATTTCACCGAGCGTCGTCGACTGCTTCTGCCTCTTATCTTTCCTCTCTTGGGCACTGCCTCCTCTCTTGCTCTGCTGAATCTCTCTCCAGACCTCATCAACTGTCTTCTTGCTAAGTTCGCCGGGCAAAGTCAAGCTTCCCTGGCGAGACAGGCCTTGTGCCGGGACATTGACCGGTGATTGGTTAGCTTCAGCAGACCAGACACTCTTGAGCAGTTCGTCGAGGTTCATGCTTCCAAGAGGCTTCCCCGAACTTGCCAAGTGGGTTTGAACCTCGCCGAGTGTTAAGCTATAGAGAGAACCTTGCCTGGGCAATGTCTGAGATTTAGGGTCTTCCATAACGCCACGCTGAGACCCCATCACCATGAAACTCCAGATAGAACAATAATGGCTATGTCTGAAAAATCGGACACTCTTAATGGCTATATCTGAAAATTTTTACCCACCAGCCATTTCGAATCAGCAAAGAAAAAGGGGAACAGAAAGATTATCTCTTTCTAGGGTGTGTAATCGTAGGACATGCGAGCTAGAGGAAGAACCAAACAAGCGGGGAGAGACGAGGAAAAGGAAGACCCATATCAGAAATCCAGTCGTATCGGCGGATAAAGAGAAGGGATCACCAGAACATGAGAAATCCGAAAGAAAACTGGAAATTGCATGCAGGCATTCGAACCCAGATGTTAAATGTCGGGCTCGGGACAACAGGAATGACAAAAATGGGAAGAGAGAGAGAGAGAGAGAGAGAGAGAGGCAGAGGGAATAAACAAACAGAGGAAGAGGTTTCTGCAGATCAAACAAAAAAGAAAGATTAAATCTAAGACAAGGTGAGAGCTTTAAAACCAGATCTAAATTTCGGAACAAAAGAAGAAGTTGGGTCCCTTTTTTCCAGAAGAGTGAGAGTGGGACACCTTCGGTCAGCGAAGAAACCACAACTCTCTCTCTCTTTCTCTCTCTCGATCGATGAAGTAAGAGAGAGAATCTTTTGTGACAGTGACACTGCAGGTACAGTGGCAAAACCCTTTTAAAGGAAATGTAAATGAGCTCTCTTTTGGAGTAAACAAGACATGGGTTATACTTTTACGCAATCTTTCCTTGTTTGGATCAGATCCAATGTCTCCTCCAATCCATTGCCTGTCAAATTAATTCTCGATTCAGGAAGCCACTTTTGCCCAAACATAAAGATGGATCTAAAGTCTGAACTGTCTGGTATTGTTTTCCGCCTATGATGTCTTAATTCGGCAATAGTCAAAGGTTTGTATGGAATTTAAAAACTTTACCATTTTTTAACAGCACAATAGAATCTTGAAATGGCCCTTTCTAGGAATGTTTCTTAAGATTTCAATCAATCTCGACCCATGATTTCATCCCCACCCTAAACCATAAACAATGAACATGTTTCTTCAAGAGAGAGAGAGAGAGACAAACTCAGAGAGGGACCACGTGGGAGCTGTTTCTTTGACGGGTGGGGGAACTGAGTGCATGAGGATCCGCGTGTGCCTCCTCTCCACGGAGGTCTCCCACGTGTTACTGTTCAAACCCTCAATATTCGAAAACTCAATATTCTACATTTTCATATTTTAAAACAAAAGCCCTTCTGTCAGCCAATTCACAAATAATAATAATGACAATTAAGGTATAGATTCGTGAAAAACGCCTGACATCTCTTTGACTCAGCATCACACCTTCTCAACACTTCATAGAATCATCAGTCATTACACACAGTCACACACACATACATACGTACGCACGCACGTCCGTCCGTACGTCCAAAATGGTCAATGCCCTCCTAAACCCAAAACAAACAAAAAAAGACTTTCAGAAAATAATGCAGCATTAGTCGTTTCCTCCGCCCCCTAAACCAAAACTGACCCAATGATGATGTTTACAACACCATGACACGCCAAGGCTATGAAGACAGATCTTGGTAAACTAATCTACTTAACTAGCAAGATGTTAAATTCAATAGAACTACTTTAATTGAAGCTATACAGATCTTAGAAAGCATAATAGTGATAACTATATATATATATATACACACACACTATATAGATCTTATGAAAACCCTTTTAACCGAACCCTCTCCCATGGCAGTTGGTGGCCTCTTGGCCTCTCTAGCTGTTCCTGGAGTCAGCTGTGTTGGTATCAGAAAGAGTACATCCTCAGGTTGCAAAACCATAGAGTGACTCAAACCTTCTTCCTTCACCCATGGCCCAAAAAACAAGAACCCTTCTGCCTTCAAAACACAAATGGAGAGACAGAGAGTGTTCCCAATCCCACTAGGAGAGTACCTTACCTATAATCATGGTAACTCTTATTTTTTTGTCTGACTGGACATCAATACCAAGAAGGGGCTTCAGAAAATCAAAAGCAGGCACATGCCTTGACTTGGTAAACATTACTAGCAGAGCTTTTCCCTGCATGAAGCCAATTTCAGCTTGCGTTGTGTTTGTGAGAAACATGTTGCAAACTTGAAACCCTAGCCACCTAGATCCGCTCAAACAGTTCAGCCAAAAAAATAACTAAGACAATGCAATTTGCCTTCTTCAGATATCTAATGAAAGCATTGCAAGAAATCATGTGTAAGCTTCTAGTTTTAAGTATATTTATAAACCACTTACCCATAACTTGAGATTGTTGGATAGCTTGGGAATTAGACTAATCTAAAATTCAAATTCAGATCAGTATAGATTTCCTAGAGTTTCTAGTTGTACGCTAGTTAGTCACTGCGGATACCAGTTAGCTGTTCAACCTGCACTCACAGCTACCTGCAAGAGGAACCAGGGTTAAGCATTCATAACATGTCGAAAAATCAGGATATAATACACATATAATATTATAGTCTGATTATAATCTGACAATGATTTCAAGATTCATGCAAGTAAACAGAACATGAGCACAAAAACCTTGAATAGTTGAGCTCCATCACATCACATTCAACAATGCATGCAGAAAAAACACTTGAAATCATCAAACAACGAAACCAAATGAAAAAACTAAGCTGATAAAACATAAAGAAAGCATTTGTGCACCCATAAGGAGAATCTCTTTTCTTACACACGAAAGTTCAAGAAAGACTTAAAATGAAACATTAACTCCGGAAAATAGTACAATGTTTTTCGAATATCATAAAGGGAGTTGAGGAAAACAGGTCGATAAAAACTAAAAGTCCTGAAATAGTTTTAGCAGTCCGGCATTGGAGAGACCAAAGAGTAACATTTCATCCAAAATACAAAGACTTGGGTTGCATCAGCTCCATACAAACTTCAGAAGAATCACCAGACCAGGCCAATACTAAAACACTGTTTTGTGATATCTGCACGACACAAAATCCTTTAGAAACCAGTCGAACAAGGAGACCACAGGAAATCTGGAAGAAATCATATACAATAAATCGAAAAAACATCAGATGAGAGTCAATGCATATAAAATTGGTGAAGGACAGAACTGTTAAAGAAATTATTATAGCAAGTTACACTACAAATCCAACAAACTTGAGTGCACGCATCAAAAAAGCCCTTGCCAACACAACGAACCAGATAGGAGCTTACCAGTTACCACACCAGGATTCAAACCATGTCCATTTAAAACAAAAACGCAAAGGGAGTGCATCTATATACCTGAGTGGGCATATCTAGTGACCCATGTAAGGAGCACCATATTGCCCGCCGTGCTGTCCTCTTCCAGCACCGCCCTGCCCGGGTTGCTGGCTCGGATAGCCACCTTGCAAGCCAGCCTGAGCACCGTAACCAGGGATGACTCCTTGTGTAATATTTGCTTGAGTGCCGTAAGCTGCAGGCATTCCACCTACAGCTGCAGGGTTCACACCCGTAGCTGTTCCCAGTGATCCCAACAGAGCCTGCCCCATTGCTGGATGCAATCCCAATCCAGCACCCTGTGCAGCAAGCAAAGCGGTGAGGGCCTGACCGAGAGCAGGGTTTAATGCCTGTGTCGGCGGAGCAGCCATCCCAGCTTGGTTACCAGCCATGAGATGTCCATGACCTCCATCTGCACTGTAACCACTGTTGTCATTCCTTTGGTAACGAGGATTGTGATTGCGAGAGTTATGATGATGCTGTTTCCCCGGTTTCGGCCCATCTATAGCTTTCTGGCAATGCAAAACATGGCCTTCGAAGTTCTTGTGCGGTTCGTCGAGAGCCCTCTTGGCACTTTCGGGGGACTTGTAGATAAACAAGCAGAACCCTTTTGGTCTCCCGGTGACTTTATCAAGCCCCAGGGGACCTTCTTCAATCTCTCCGTACCTCGAGAAAAACGCAAACAACTTTTGGGCATCGAGCTCTGCCGCCACGTTACTGACATAAATCTTCCTGTAGGAAAACTCTGAGGTCGAGTGCTGGGCAGGCGCTGAAGTAGCGGCCGCGGTCGGGTTGCCCTGTACAGGCCCAACCGAAGCCAGCTGACACGCCGTCATTCGACTTCCAATCTTCTTCTGGGGCTGCTTGAGCGCGTTGCGAGCACCAGACCGTGACTTGAAGAGAATAAAACCATACCCTTTAGATTTCCCGGATATCTTATCAACAACGGCCTTGCAATCTTCGATCTCACCATACTGCTTAAACGCTTCGATAAGCGCATCGGCTTTGGTATCCCATCCAAGCCCGTGTACAAATATCTTGCGGTGAACAGGATCCTCATCCGCCACCTTCCGGATTTGATTCGCCACATCGGGATGATTCCCTGCAGCTTCCTTGAGGAGAATGATCAACTGATCCTTAGTGAACGGTTCCAAGAGATTCTGAATCGGCTCGTCGTCTTCTTCACCTCCCTGATTCCCAGATCCCGATGTCGCCGCCTCCGTACCAAAGCCCACCGTCTGATTCTCACTTCCTCCTCCGCCGTCTTCGTCGGGATCATCATCGTCATCATCGACTTCCTCTTCGTGTTCTTCCTCCACTTCCTCATATTCGACATCCTCATCGCCATCTCCCTGATTCTCGCGATCCCCAATTTCCTGTGGCAGCTCCACCATTTTCCGCTGCTTCTGCGGCGTCTCCAACGCCTGGGTCGATTCGGGTTCGAGCATTCTCTTCATCGCAACGGCGGAATCGCGCTTTAACCTTGGAGAAAGATAGTCTCTCAGAGCCTAGGGTTTGGAAATTTTCTGGCCCCAAGTTGATTCGCCTCTTGTCTACCGGCGAACGGATACGCGGCACGAGTTTTGTAGATGCACCATGTGAATTTACAAATATACCCTCTCTTGATCCTTTCATATTCGGTAGTTCGGCCCATTTACTAGTGGGCTCACTAGAAGCCTCACAATTGGGCTTTTTCAAGGCTCAATAACCTTTGTCTGGGATGACCCGAACCGGACCGGACCGGTTAGGTCAGCCGTTTTGTTATATGGTTCAGGCAATGGTAGTGGACATGTGTGGTGGCGGGCAACCATGTTTGGCTGTCACTGTCTACACAAATTTCTGATGAGTTTTTGAAAAGATTTGATAGAACCAAAACCGAATTCGTAGTAGTTAGTCACAAGGCAATAAATCATAATAATTTATTATTTAAAATCTATTACCGCCTCAAACGCAAAAAAAAAAAAAAAAAATCACTTTTTCCTCTCTAAATTCTTCAATATTTTTATTAACGGAACAATAACTCTTAATATAGGAAAAAAAATAAACTCATTCTTTAAATACTATCAAATTCTGTAAATATTATTTTTTGCAAATATCCAAAAACCCTAAAACTAGAAAAACAATTAATTGAAAACCAAACAGAAAATAAACAGACAAAAGGGCCACCAAAGCCTAACACTCTGTTTTTAGGCTTTTAGCCCTTTCCTTCTTCCTCTCCTCTTTTCCTCGGTAAATTCTCAGAAGAAGGATCCCCCACGGATATTCGGGTTCTTCCTTTTTCTTTCTGGAGCCTTTTTTTCTCGACAAGGTTCGGCCTCTGTTTCATGAATCTCGTAGTACGAGTGAGCTTTGTTTTCTGGGTCATCTATTTTCCATGAACTCAATCAGCGCTTTTTGTTTTTTGTTTTCCTTTTGATTGGGTTATTTGCTTCTGTTGTGTTCTACTTTTGGTTAGTGGAATCAGCAGTTTCGGACGTGTTACAGGTCGATGTAGCCTTTGGGGTCGGATTTAGTGTTCGTTCTCCGTTGTTTGGTCTTAAGCGGAGATTATCAATCAAAGTGGAATCTGTATAATTATTTGTCACTGTATTATGGAACCGGAATCTGTTCTGGGTTTTCATCGATTTTGATTTTTTCGATTTCGGTGTAATTTTACTTAAATCAGATGAATCAGCGATGTAGGGACAGAGCTGAAAGCTTATCTGTCTTAGGATTCCTGTTACTGTTTGGATATGTTTCCTTTTTCCTCTTGGATTTGTTCTCTTTAAGTGTGGCATCCTTCTCTTTTGCAATCCAGTGATCTATACGAAGATGGTCTTTTTCTTTCACTTGCCTATGTAAAGATAAAACTGAGTTGGAAATTCTGTGTTCTGGGTTTAACAGGTTGGTGAAAGGTTTGGCCGTGATGGCGACGTTCTTTCGTGCCTCGTCGCCTTCGTGCCCAAGGCATTGCTCAAGATGGGCGAGGGAGAGCATGAAATATTGCCTGTGCAGTGTGAGAGATGGACTGTCTCTGAGTCTAGGTTTCATCAGTGTCATCAGTTGGGGCGTGGCTGAAATCCCACAGATCATCACTAATTACAGGGAGAAATCCACTGAGGGCCTTTCTATTGCTTTCTTGACGACATGGATGCTCGGGTAAGCTCCTGGGCGGGCAGTTCAAGTGTTCCGTGTTAGAGGTTTTCCCTAAATATAGATAGGCCTTGGCAGTGTAGAACTGTAGATATGTCTCTGAATTTGTTGTAAGCTGTAGCAAAGGTTTTGCCTTTAGTCAATTGAGCTCTTGTTATAGACAGGATGATCTCGAACTTGTCTTGATCTTGAACTCTTCTTGTCCTTCCCTTTTGTGCCCTTCTGCCATTCTGTCTCATCAAGACATTTTATGTATCTGATTCCATAGTTATATTCTGTAGGGATCTCTTCAACGTTTTCGGCTGCTTGATGGAGCCTGCTACAGTAAGTGAATCTTCTTAACTACATAATCCTTCAATGGCGTTTCTGGAGGATAAAACTATCAGTTAGCTAACTGAGAGTTTTTTACTTTCTTTTGCAGCTTCCAACACAATTCTACACGGCATTGGTAAAACCGAAGATCTAAACACTGTTTCATCCTAGAATGTTTCTGGTCTCTTACTTTGGCATTATTCTATTCACTTGCAGTTGTATACTGTGACCACAGCTGTTCTTTTTGCCCAAGCTATATACTATGGCCATATCTACCCTGGACTTAAGAACAGGAAGGACCAAGTGGTAATATTCCTGTTCAAGATTTTAACGATGTAGACTAGCTAACATTAGTTTGATTTAGATATTTGTTTGGTTTTCTAGGCTCGTAATTTGGATTTCCAATAATGTGTATGTTTGATAATGCAGGTGTCACACCAAAAGCAAATGGGGGCAGCTCGTAAATCCGACACAGGTAGCAATGAAGGGAAAATTGCTGAGAGGTGGAGGATTGGAGTTGATAGTCCTTGTGGAAGTCCGAGCTCACCTATCCCTTTTCCTAGGGCTCGTCGGAATAATTCTGCTGGAAGAGAATTATATTACACGTATGTATGGCGCATTTAGATTCGTAAATTTTCTCATTTGCGTGTTAAATCTAGTTTTAAACATGGCACATGATATACCGAACCATGAATAAGAAAAGGGATGATATTATATTACACTTAAGATGTATTTAGATTATTAAGCTTTTCATTTGGATCTTTGAGCTGCTTCTTCGCTCGGTTATCGAGTAATAAGAAAAGGGTTGAAATTTTGTTGCTTGTCTTACGATTTTGTCAGATCGGCAAGATCTCTGTCCAGTAGTCATACGCCACCGGCTGGATCCTTCTTAACCCAGAGAATGACTCCTCCTACTCGCCATGGTTCTTCACTTGAAGAACCCTTGCTACGTGCTCAAACTTCCCCGCTGCCTGCATCTCCTCCTGCAACCAAAATGATGTTATGCTTGGTGATTGTCGCCATTATAATCTAAATAAACCTTCGTTGTTCAGCGGAGTTTTCGTACTGAACTTCCAGCTATGTCCTTTTCTGACATGTTTGCTTTTCTCTTCTGATCAGGTCTCTGTGTTCATGTTTATTGGGACAGTAAGTCTTCCTGGTTTACTCGACGAATCAAGAAACATGACCTCGGGAGAGAGGAACCGAGTATTTGTGGTGCGAGGCATGAGAAAGCTTTTGCAGGTAGTGAAAAAGCTTCATATTAGTTTATGCATATGCTAGTTCCCTCTCCATATCCATTTCCATCAACTTAGGAACTATGCACAATCATCCATTCGGGTATCATCCTCTCTGTGTCTGCTTAAGTTTCGGTTCATGTTTCAGATTTCTAGCAGTAGCTTGGGAGAGAACCATAGCGGAGAAAGCGGTGGAATCGGAATGCTTATGGGTTGGGCCATGGCAGCCACTTACATGGGTGGAAGGCTTCCTCAGATCTGTCTAAATGTAAGGTTTATGTTGTGAAAGCACTATTCCTCTTCGTGTTCGTTGCATTCTCTGATCTTTTCTGCCAAACCCTGATCTAAAAGTTGTGATTTTCTGATTTGTATTTGCAGATGAGGAGAGGGAATGTCGAGGTGAGTAAGCATATACGAAACTAAAACCGAAATCAACATAGAAAAAGCATTCCCTTGATACATTTCTTCCACGAGAATTGCAGGGTCTGAATCCATTGATGTTTCTCTTCGCATTAGTTGGCAACTCCACCTACGTTGCAAGGTGAACACTATAAGACACGTTCAGCCCCTTCTATCCTCGTAAGATGTTTTGGAGCTCAAACCCTTTTTTTTTCCTGCAGCATACTCGTGAACAGTATGGAATGGTCGAAAATCGGGCCAAATCTGCCATGGCTCGTCGATGCAGGAGGATGCGTGATTCTCGACACTCTTGTATATATCCTTCTGCTGATCTCACCTTTGGTGCCTTCTTCTTTCTCTTTGATTACCCTCTTCTGAATCTGATCACTTTCTTCTCTGTTGTTCAGATACTGCTTCAGTTCATCTACTTCCAGTATCGATCTGGTTCAAACCTCGATCCAGAAGAGAAGCACGAATCAGCAGATGCGGTATAGGCTGGCGGAATGCTTTTTCCCCATTCTACAATGTCTCTTGTGTTCGTTTCATTTGCTTCGGACATGAAAGGCTTAAAAGAGTTTGCTCCTCAGAAGCTGGAGAAGTTTACTCCATCTGCAGAAGACAAGACAGATTCGGCGGTTTTGACTTGACACCGACAAGTTCTTTTAACTCGCGAAGATTTGTTTTTTTTTCTTTTTTTTTTTTTTGTTCTTCTCTTTCTTGATTTCTCTTCGTTAATGGCTTTTCTTCATGGTTCGATTTTCATCTAAACCTTTGTCATTTTCGATCTTGATTAATAAAGATTTTGTGGTTTTTTTCGATACACGTATATATAATGTATGTAGCGTTTGTATAATATAGAACTCTCAGGCAGAGAAGACAGTGCATGATTACGTCGAGAATCTAGTAAACATTGTACTCGTTCTTGAAAATCACTAAACGACAAAATACAACTCTTAAAGACAGGTATGCCCACATTCTCGGAGAAACGGCGGCGTATCGATATTTGGGCCTGAGAAGCCCATAAATTAATGGGCTTGGGCCTTATAAAACCTTGTGATTTTCCCATTTCTGAGAGAGCGGAGCGGAGATGAGGAAATAACGTCAAAAAACTCCCGCCGAATATTTCCCGCCAAAATTCGGAGCCTGATAAAGCGCTCCTCTCCCTCTCTCTCTCTCTCTCTCTCTCTCTTCTCTCTCAAGCGCTCGACTTTTCGCGCTACTTTTTCTTGGTCTTCTGTTGATTTGATTCTCTCATTTCTCTCTTTGGGAGGCTTAGAGCTTGAAAGATTTCGATTGAAAAGCCCTAGTTCAAAAGTAAGCAGGTGCCAATTCCCAAGATCTGAAATTCTTTGGCTGGAATTTTGGCGACAAATAAGCTCAAAGTAAGTTCATCGGTAATATCATATCTCATGCCCAATGGCCAATTTCTTTTATCTAAATTCATCCACTGATCCGGACCTGTGTACTGCTCTTGGGTAGTAATTAGAATCAGCCAGAGAACATTGGAGATTGATTACGAGAATTAGGGTTTTTCTCTCAATTAATCTGTACTATCTCCTCTTTCATGTGGGTACTTTAATATTTTTAGTGATTTGTGCATTGTTATGGTCAGAGTTCACAACAATCTTCAGAGTTTCTTGCTGTGGTCTTGGTTGAATCGCATCTGGGCATTAGTTGATGTTAGTGAACTATCATAGCGAACACAAAATTTATCTCGATTCCATTGGTATAGACCGATGATAGCTCGCCCAAGTGAATTTGAAGATTGTCGGCTGTTACTTTGCTATTACCAGTGGTTTCACGTTTTCTTTTACTATTCAGGAGCTGAATTCGGCTTGGATTTCTGAATCATTGTGTACAAATGGAGTTAAGAAGTCGCAACAATTTGCATTTTGTAAATTCCATTAAGGACGGATCGGCCAAGAGAGTGTTGAATGTGGATACCCACAGGAGGCCAAAACTAAAGTTTAGACTTTTAGAAGATGTCTACAAGGAGGGATGCCCCAAAGATGAGTGGCTCCCAAAAATCCAGCCAAGAGCAGTCAGGGAATTGGACAGCTTTCCTGACATGACAGATGTCTCCTGTCTGATGGCAGCCGAGATGAATGTCAAACATGAGCCGGAAGATTTTGATGCTGAATCAGAGGCAACTGTTTGCAAGATAGATGGAACCTGTGATGATCTTGGCTTTGGTGACATGACACTGCAGCAGATACGGAAACAATGGAAGGCGAATAAAAGGAAATGTCAGAACCGTATAAATATTGAGACTGCAAACAATGGCTCTCCCGTTAAACAAGAATGTTTCAATCTTCAACCTGAAAATGGGGGATGTGATCTTGAGGAGCCTCTTAGTTGTTGGGTAACTAAGTTACCCAGAAGACGAAAGGAAAAGAAAATAAAGCGCAGTTCTGCTCCCTCTCCAGCCAAGAGAAAAGGAGATTTCTCTGTTTCTTATGAAATCAAGACTGAGGCTTTGGAAGATTGCTGCTTGGTTTCTGAAACCATGTCTTTCTTTCCATCTGATCCTTCACCAAACTCTAACAAATCGCCAAGTGTTTCTGGAATGGTGTCGTTTGAAGTCCCCATAACTCCATCAACTGTGGAAGAAATCATTAGTGATGAGTTCATTGAGCTTCCGGATACAAGACGACAAGCTCTATGCAGTGTTATTGATAAGTTTGCCCTAGAGGATCAGGAGAATGCCGGTCCTGTAAATGCTTTGAGTGCTAGTGTTTCTGGTGAGGAGATTAGATTGGCTGATAATTCAGAGGAAACTTATCCTCAGAATTCAGATTTCTCCTGGGCGGAATCTGGGAACAAAGGTTGTGCCGAAAACCCCATCTCCTCCAAGACAAGCTTGGAAAGTGAATGTGCCAGAGAGAATCAGGAAATCATTGATCAAAATCCTGATATGGATGTGGAAGTAACTAATGGAGAGACTGTAAAGGTAGAAAGCCAAGAAACTCTCTCTGTAGAGTACTCGGGCTTGCCCTTGGTAGGTTTTGCAGAGGAGAACCACATAACTCGTGCACCATCCTCCAACTTCTCTGAAACAGACGGTTTAGAAAGGGACTATCACCCAGAGAAAAACCAGATAATCTGTTCTCCAAATTATTCATCTCCAACGGCAAGTCCCAGGATTCAAGTTCAAGAACTCGATATAGATTACATCGTTCTTGGTCTTGAATCTTGTGATTTAAACACAGTGGAAAGTTCATGTGGAACCAAAGATATCAATAAGGATGATTTGCCTGACGCATCCAAAACAACTGCTATTGATCATCAGGATAGTTCAGATTCAGCCTCTGATGACTGCATGATTTCTGGAGATGAAGATTATACGTCAGAAAGGAGACAATCCATATCCTATGGATACACAGATACAACAGAACACTGTGAACCGATACTATCCTCTAATGTGTCAGAAACTGAAGGTATCCAGCAACAAAAGCTGCGACATCCACCTGAAAAACTATTCTCGGGGAGAAAGGTCTGTGCTTTATGCCAGTCAAGTATTTTGCAAAAACCATATTTTACCTAAAATGTTCATCATGGGCTGAATTGGTGTATCAGGTCATTTCCCCATCCTCTCAAGCAAAACTTTGCAAGGCAATGGAGCAACCCGATTCACCAGAAAAAAGGATTACCAGTAAGTTTATGTCTTTATGACAAAACTGTTAAGAATGCTTTATCCTCTGTATTATTGCATCTTCCTAATCTTTTTACCTGTCGCCTTAAAATCCAGAATGGAAGGGGAAACTGTATTTCAGTAGTCAAAATGCACATAGGATTCTTAAGGCCAAAGGACTGGGAGACATTGAGAGAATCGTCGAAGCCAGTCCAACCGCAAAGCAAGTAATTCAGAAGCCAAATAATTCTGGGCAAACTCAGCATCGAAAGCCAGCAATCAAGATTTCTCGTCAAAATAGTCCAGCAGAAGCTCCACGGCGGTTTAGCACGGCATGCACCACGGTCCGAGATTGTTCACAGAACGCCATTGCCTTCTCGCAACGTCAGATGCATGATATCCAGAACCTTGCAACTAAGCTCACCAGCCAGCTGCAATCTATGAAAGAGATAACCGAAAGATATCTTCAAGACGAAGAATTCAGCCCCTCGAAACTGCCAAAGTATAACGCGGACGAGGTACTTTGCCGTTGAATCAACTCCATTGCTATTCCTTCATCATGCTTTTTCTCTCTGTTACACATAGTATTGCACCGTCTGAGTCCTCATTCTTTACAATCAAATGCTCTGTCAGGCGAGAATCGCGGTTAGAAATGCAGATAGAGCCGAAGAGACTGCGAGAAAGTGGCTTTCTATAATGGAACGTGACTGCAACCGGTTCTGCAAACTGATGGTTCGGCCCCTTTTGGTTATCATGTTCATCAAACTGGCGTCTGATTAGAGATTTTGTTCAATGTCCAACTTTTCTCTTCTTTGCCTTTTGCCTGCAGGGAATGATCCATGAAGATTCTGCTGCTTTCGAAAATATAGCAAAGAAGAAGAAAAAGAAGATAACTTTCGCAGATGATGCAGGAGGGGATCTCTGTCATGTAAAGGTTTTCGACATCGACATGGAATCTCCGTCAATGCCCGAACCATGAGAACGCACTCGGACAGAATCTTACGAGTTTCCGACAGTAAGTACATTCATGTCCTTTGGACTCGGCACCTGATCTGATCGGTGGATACATACGGAATCCGTGACATCTTTAGCTACAGTACGCAGAGAGAGCCTTTTAATTATTACCAAGTTTTCTTTTTAATTTTTTTTTATGTTGTCTGTCTGTCTGTCTTAAAGCTAATATTTTCAATTATCAAATTTGCTTTTTCCCGACAAAAAATAAAATAATACTTGAGGGTAGCGTCATTATGTCATCATGATTACGTTGACCTGTGCTGATGTCATCGCTGGCGTCTTTTGACTCTTATACATGTGTATATATCGTTACAAGTGAATCTGTATATATCGTTACAAGTGAATCTGTATAATGGTCCAATTGAATGATATATATATATTTATCCACTAATAATCTCGTTTACAACCAAATGGTCCAATTTGATAATTGCTAAATTTAGTTTCCGTGGTATTGGTGGGTCGAATAAATAAATTGCATTGCCATTAACCGGCGATTTGCAAAGCGCGAGTATTTTTCAACGGCCACGACTTTGTTCGTAATAAATGTCCACAAGTTCTAGTCAACATATATATACAAACAATCAAACCGATTAATTATTTCGTCATACATTTAATATTTATATATATATATATATATATGTATGTATGTATGTATGACACTGACTTTAAACGGTGTTTCATTGACTGTGTAAACGTGTTAGACATCTGAAATACTGACTCCAGAATATATTATAACACCGCCGTTGTTGCTACTAATTTATTGGTAACGTTAAATCAATTTCAACTCAAACACATAATTATTATTCGTTACAATTTTATACATCAGTTCGGTTTTTTCGGTTTTAGAAAAATAGATACCAATCGGTTTTTATATTATATTCGGTTCGGTTTTGATTTCGGTTTTTATGGAGAAAAAATATATTTTTTTAAAAAAAAAATCGGTTTTCAGGATTTTGACGAGAAATCTTGATTGCTGGCTTTCGATGCTGAGTTTGCCCAGAATTATTTGGCTTCTGAATTACTTGCTTTGCGGTTGGACTGGCTTCGACGATTCTCTCAATGTCTCCCAGTCCTTTGGCCTTAAGAATCCTATGTGCATTTTGACTACTGAAATACAGTTTCCCCTTCCATTCTGGATTTTAAGGCGACAGGTAAAAAGATTAGGAAGATGCAATAATACAGAGGATAAAGCATTCTTAACAGTTTTGTCATAAAGACATAAACTTACTGGTAATCCTTTTTTCTGGTGAATCGGGTTGCTCCATTGCCTTGCAAAGTTTTGCTTGAGAGGATGGGGAAATGACCTGATACACCAATTCAGCCCATGATGAACATTTTAGGTAAAATATGGTTTTTGCAAAATACTTGACTGGCATAAAGCACAGACCTTTCTCCCCGAGAATAGTTTTTCAGGTGGATGTCGCAGCTTTTGTTGCTGGATACCTTCAGTTTCTGACACATTAGAGGATAGTATCGGTTCACAGTGTTCTGTTGTATCTGTGTATCCATAGGATATGGATTGTCTCCTTTCTGACGTATAATCTTCATCTCCAGAAATCATGCAGTCATCAGAGGCTGAATCTGAACTATCCTGATGATCAATAGCAGTTGTTTTGGATGCGTCAGGCAAATCATCCTTATTGATATCTTTGGTTCCACATGAACTTTCCACTGTGTTTAAATCACAAGATTCAAGACCAAGAACGATGTAATCTATATCGAGTTCTTGAACTTGAATCCTGGGACTTGCCGTTGGAGATGAATAATTTGGAGAACAGATTATCTGGTTTTTCTCTGGGTGATAGTCCCTTTCTAAACCGTCTGTTTCAGAGAAGTTGGAGGATGGTGCACGAGTTATGTGGTTCTCCTCTGCAAAACCTACCAAGGGCAAGCCCGAGTACTCTACAGAGAGAGTTTCTTGGCTTTCTACCTTTACAGTCTCTCCATTAGTTACTTCCACATCCATATCAGGATTTTGATCAATGATTTCCTGATTCTCTCTGGCACATTCACTTTCCAAGCTTGTCTTGTTTGACCACAATTTCAGGCGATCAGAAATCCACGTATTAACGGATTGCTGATGTCACCTTATACATGTTGTCAATTTTAATTTAAAAAATAACATCAGCAATCCGTCAATACGTGGATTTCCGATCGCCTGAAATTGTGGTCAAACCGGTCAAAGATTTATCAAAGCAATAATTTGCAAACTCGAGATTTTATTCAGTGACAAGTTACAAGTTTGGGGATTGAATGACAGTTTTTCAAGTTGAAGGTTTATTTGTATATATTTTTTGCAAGTTGGAGATTTTTTAGGGGTTTTACCTTCTTAATAATAATAATAATAATAATAATAATAATAATAATAATAATTTCATTTGGACAATATCAACAAAATCGAATTAATTATTTTTGTTGACTGTAATAATCACGGGTCGTGTTATCCGGCATTCTCATTGCAATTATTAGTTTCAAGGGATATATGTATACATATATATGTGTGTGTGTTATACATACATATATATATAGCTGTTATTGGTCCAATACAAATTAAACTACCCAATATCTCGATAATTAAAAACCAAATTATCCAATGTTATAGAGAGATTAAGGAACAACGGCCATTTTGCCAACAATATAACAAATGAACTAATCAACTTTGGAGTAAAAAATACTCAAATTTGGGTAGTTCAACCGGTGAAATGGGAGCGCAAAGCGTCTGTCTCATTCCGAGTTCGAACTTCAAATTTGGGGACAGAATATATATTCTGAATCATCTAGGTGGTTACTGATTCCGAGATTAGTTTGGACCGTGGTTCAAGATACTCAATTACCTTAAAAAAGATTTGAGTAAAAATTTACATAAAAAAAACTTTTGAGTGAAAACATAAGCTTAAATTTAATTTTTTAAAAATGATGTTTAAAAACATGGATTTTATTTAAAAATACGTTATAAAAAAATAATGCATCAAAACATATATATGACATTATGAAAAATTATATAATTTTAAAAAATAATATGTAAAATTTAGAATTATTCAGACTCTTAATTTGTAGTTTATCGATAACATAATTAGCAAGACAAGATAAGTACATGTCATTCCCTAGAGTAACCACTACAAAAAAACAGTCATTTAGCAACGAAAATTTTTCGTTGCAAACCTACAAATTTCGTTGCAAAACAGTGTTTGCAACGAAATTGCAACGAAAAAATTTTCGTTGCTAACTCGTCATTGCAAACCAATATAGCGTTTCAATTCGTTGCAAATTACAACGATTTATTTTCGTTGCTATTTGCAACGCAATTATTTCGTTGCAAAAGCGTTGCAACGCTTTTGCAACGAAAAAAATGAGTTGCTAATTTTGCAACGAAATTGCGTTGCAAAATTAGCAATGCAATTTCATTGCTAAAATTAATATAAAATAAAAAAAATAATTTAGAATTTTAGGTTTTTTTAGAAGAATTAAATTACAATTTAAAAAATAATTAATTAAAAAAATATTAAATAAAATATAAATATTAAACAAAAATAATATAGATATTAAATAAAGATAATAAATATATATATATATATATATATTTGTAGAATTATAAAGTTTATTTAAAAGTTATAAATTAAGGTTTATAAATAAATAATTAACAAAATAATAAAATAAATATTTAATAAGAATAATAAATATATTTTTATTTGATTTTTTTAAGAGTTGGGATAGAGAGAGGTTTTAGATAATTTTTAGAGTGAGAAATTGTTGATGAATTGTGTTTGGAATGTGTTTGGATGTTGAATATATAAAAAACATTGCAACGCAATTTCGTTGCAAATTTGCAATGAAATTGCGTTACAAATCCAATTAGCAACGAAAATTCGTTGCAAAAGGCGTGAAAACCATAATTAATCGCAGCCACAAATTTATTTTAAATTTGTAACGCAATTTCGTTGTTAATTGGATTTGCAACGCAATTTCGTTGCAAATTTGTAACGAAATTGCATTGCAAAACCAAATAGCAACGAAATTGCGTTGCAAATTTATATATTTACTTTTTGACGGTCAAATCATATTAATTATTAAATAATAATTTTTGCAACGAAATTATTTCGTTGCAAAGCATTGCAAAAGGAAATTCGTTGCTAATCGTTGTTGATTTTAAAGAAATAATTTTGAAACGATTTTGCAACGCAAATATTGCGTTGCAAATTAGCAATGAAATTATTGCGTTGCTAATTGTAATAAAAAATTTTACAATTGCAACGATTTTGCAACGCTTTGCAACGAAAAATTGCGTTGCAAAATCGTTTTCATTAAATAACGTTGCAATTTCGTTGCTAACTTTGCAACGAAATGCATTTCGTTGCTAATGGCATGTTTTTTTGTAGTGAACTAGTAATGGTAATACATGTTAATTTTTCTTACCTAAATCCATTTAAATTTTTGTATACTTATATCATCCATAATAATTAATAACTATCAAAAAATCTATATTATTTTTTGTCAACTAGTTTTTTTTATCCGCATTTTTTTTATAGTTGTATATGTTTCGATCTTGTCCATTTAAAATAGTGTAGGTTAAAGTATAACAAAGTCGGAGACATATATTATCCGCAAAAACAGATTCAGTGTAGACATTTCTATTTGTTATACAGATATCATGTGTAACATATATTATTTAAAATGATTATTTTATCTTTATATTTATACAACATACATATATATATATATATCATGTTAAAATGAGTATGTTATCTTTATGTCAACTTTTATTAATTAGTTGCATTTGGTAATGTGTTTTTGTGTTTTCGGATTTGTAAACCATGAAACATTTTATTTTTATAAAAAGAATTAATATAAAAAATTTTAACAATACAAATTCTACATTCGGATATAAAACATGTTACCCGAAACACGGGGATACATGTAAAATAAATAACCTCGAAAATTCAGATACCATACTAGGAACCACCCCTAGTTTAAGATTTTCGGATCGCGCTAAATCTTACTACGACAATTAATATAAATCTTAGGATGACATTTTATATATATATATATATATATATATATATATATATATATGTTAAGTGACGGGTACTTGCTTTAACAACAAGATGGGTTGAAAATAAAAAGCAGATCGATCGATATGCCAATAAATAAATTGGAAATAAATGTTTCATTCTAGTCAAATAATATAATACTAGTATATTTTAGTTGTCTAAAATAAATTTTATATATACTCTTACAATTCTGAATAAAAAATTACAAAAGAGTAAAAATAAATTTTATTTTTAATTACAACTAAATAATAGCTCAATCTAAATCGAATTCACAAAAACTCAAAACCAAAAATAATAAAATAAATAAAATTGTCTAAAACTAAACTGTATATTGAACTATATCTAGGGATATATATTTAAAGTAAATAAATGACTGAGATAATTAAAAGAAAAACAAAGAGGATAGAGGATAAATTGGTTAAAATTCGAGTTTTATTTTGAGATGAAAATGGAAAAAAATAATAATAATATAGGGAGACATGAAAACGCGTAAAGAGGTGACGGAGATTGACCGTCAATCATTTTGTGTCTTTTTTTTTTTGTTAACTTCTTTTAAACCCCACATGCATGAAGCCTCTCCATTCCCCCACACCACATACACGCACGCATATGTATATATAATACAAATATTATATATGCTTCGCATTGTAAAATTATCTTGTTTATGTAGTTAGGCTCTACTAATTAATCATGAAAATTAGGTAGATCGACATATATATATATATATATATATATATATCGGTACATGCATGCATGCATGGAGTAAAGTACGTGATAGTGGCTACTGTATTCAACTATCATTACGAGTGAGTGATGAAGTTTACCGGTTTCTTGACCAAATCGAAAATGGATAAGTCCATTTATATATTAATGACCATATAAATTAAATAACTATGAATTTTTAAGACTTTTTTTTACTTGTTAGATGGTTGAGAAATAACAAAATCATTTCAAAGTATTAGATTCGATTCTACCAATGAGAAAGAGAGATGCAATTATTTACGTAATTAAAGATGGGTTGATTGTGAAATCAAAAGATTAATTAAACCAAAGTCCCAATGTACCTCTAGGTTGTATAAAAAAAATTAAGGTCTTGTTTGGTCATATTTAAATATATGCTTATATATATACATTGCATGCCTATAAAATATGTGTATCACATTCCCTTCGCAATCGACGCAAATGTTTATCTCAAGTATCTTAATTTGTTTTGCTTTTTAATTAATGGTCAGAGATCTTGTTATTAACACAGGCAATTTAAATACTCATTTTATCTGTTGGTCCCACAAAGCAATTAATTACAAAGCTTCAGATTTCTCTCTTGATTTTGTATTTCAAAGTGTGGGAGGAATTAGCAAAGTCATTATCCAACAATTAATTAACGAATTGAATATAAAAACAGCGGGAGATGGGAGAGAGCGGACTCGGAGCTGAGTCAGAGTTCCGTACGAGTGAGTTGACGCGTGCCCCTTTCTCTCTCCTCACCACGCGGTTTCCTTCTTTCCCCGCCGTCCTATTTATCCCCCTTCTTGCTCACTCTCTCTCTCCCACTTCTTCTTCTTCTCATCCTCCTAGAAACCCTAGCTCGGAAAGATGCACTGATACATTTCTTCCTTTTTTTTTCCGTCGTTAGATCGATCTCTGATTTCTCTCTCTCTCTCTTTTTGTTAATTTAGTGGGTTTTTTTTGTTGGAATCTCGCCGGTTATGGCGTCATCGGAGGGGTTAGCGAGCGCAGGGGCATGGTCGTTCAAGCAGAGCTTCGGTATCGATTCATGGCTGCTTCCGGAGTCGAACTTCTCTCGTGACAACGATTTGCTCGCCAGAGCTCTCCACAAATCCATCTCGACCACTCACCACGACCACAACACACTCCTCCTCCCCGATCCTCTTTCTCCCTCCGCGATCTCCGAGCCTTCGCCGGCTCTTTCTAACGTCTCATGCGGTTCCTATCCGGAAATCTCCGGCACGAAACGGAAGCGGAACGGCGGTTCTGGTGTTGCTGGTCCCAGTGGTAAACCTCCGAAGCGGAGATCTCGAACTTCGAAGAAATCTCAGACAACGTTCATAACGGCGGATCCGTCGAATTTCCGGCAGATGGTGCAGCAGGTCACCGGCGCAAAGTACATCGGCTCGTCCCACAACATTTTCTCTCCGATCGTGAAGCCGGAAGCTAAGAGGTTCGCAGATCAGGTGCAGTCGGACCGATCGGGGCTCCCGACGCTCGATACGTCGGGTTTTTTGTCGAATCATCACCAGGAGAGTCTGGCGGCGGGAAACAACGCGTTTTCCGGCGACGAAATTGGTTTGATGGCTTCGCCGATCACTTTATTTCCGCCGTGTACGACGGCGGATGCCGGCGGCTCCGCCGCGGAGTTCGATAACTACCCAAGCTTTCCGACGCTGGAGTCCTGGAAAGTCATGTGATATGTTGCTATTAGGGTTTAGATCAATTCGGCTTCCTTTTCGTTTCTCTTTTATGAATATCATCCTCCTTGTGGTTATGGAGTCTGTTCATATTTTTGGGAAATCGGTGTCATGGAATTTTATGGAAATTAATAACTTTTGCCGGTTAAGAAATTCGGTGTTTGTATTATGTTTCAGATTTTGTTCGATTATTTTTAAGAATTTATGTTATTGTATCGAATTTTGCTTTTATTAGCAAAATATCTCCTTCTACGTACGTTCACCATCTCGAGCCACAAGTTTTTGAAATTTAAATGTTACTTTGGAGGAATAATTGTTATTAGAAAGTTGGGTTTGGTACCATAAGATTCTCCAAAATCATCCGTCTCGAAATCAATAGTACTATAAGATTTTAACATTAAATTAATTTGGGAGTTTAATCAACCTGTCTTTTCAACGTCAAATGTGTGAAGGTGTCCTTGGTCGTGCCCGTCTAAAGGAAACGGGATAATATACGTATACCATTCATATATTATATATATATATATATATAGTAATGGTCCCGGTTAAATATCGTAAGTCAACATCATACAGAAAGACATGTCAACATTATCAGTCTCCTCCAATTCACTGACACAAATCCATAGATTTTTTAAGAGGCCCTAACTCCCCTAAGCAATCTCCAAATCTCAATTATTTATATATATATATATATTGGCAGATCCAGAATTGTTTTTGGGTGACGACAATAGTAATATGTTAATAATTTCATTTTTGGAAAATATGTTTAAGAGGTGTGAAAAAAAATTTACAAAACATAAATGGTATTAAAAATTAAAGAAAAAAAAGAGATTGTTTTGATAGGATAAAAATGGTGGGGACCACATCAGGTCACACTTAAAATTTCACCAATTTTTTTTTAAAATTTACAAAATAATATTGTTTTTTCAATTTTGAGTATGGGCCTATGGGGGTATTGGATTTCACTCCCTCCGACGTAGGTCCTCCTGTGTATATATATCTTAGATTACATACAGAGTGTATGAGAAAAGAAACGTCATCAAACAAGACTTTGAATGGAGTTGGTTTTTATTTTGAATTTTGATTTTTAGTTTTTTACATTCTATAATATTTGTAAATCTAAAAAATATAGTTTTTTTTTTAATTTTTTATTGATTTGTTTTTAGAAAAAATAATTTTAAAAAATTTTAATGATAGTTTTTTTTTTGTTTTTAGATTCTAAAAACTTCAATCATTCAAGTTCAAAGTGTTCACGAGTATTAGACGTTAAGAAGAATATGTCAAAAAGTGATCGTGTTCGGCTAATTAGTCAAAAAAAGGATTATATACAAAAAAAAAAAACACAAATATAAAAATACTCTTATTGCGTTTGGTTGGTGATGATCGGAAAAAGCTGAAATTGACTCACCCTTCTTCTCCAGGCAATATATATATACATATATATATATATATATATATAATATAATATGCATGAAAACGATATGGACTCAGTTTCCACAATGCAGAGGAAGCTCTTTTCAAGTCAACGTAAAATGACACAAACAAAACAGAAACCCCGAAAGTCGTACGTCGTGTCCGTATTTTTTTTTTTACAGCAAACGTCATCCGTTGAATTTCGAACCCCAACCATTACAAATGTCGTGTTTGACCCTAAACCCATAAACTTAGATACGTGGAAAACACACACACACACACACACAAAGCGTCATTCTTACTCGATGAGTTACGTATGTTGAAATCCGGATTCGAACTCGAACATGAATTATATTACCCGTGAGACAAATTTTTAATACCCACGGATACACAAACCCAACGGATTTTAGATATATTTTGATTAAAAATTCAAAAATCAATAGATTCCATATAAATCATTTATAAAATCATCGAAAAATATTTATATCCAAAATAAGTATCTCATAAAACGATAGTTTTTTTTCATCTAAATAAAATAAAAATATTAAATATTGATAGATTTCTTTATAGTTTTCTAATAACTATAAAATATATTGTTATTTTTTATTATTTGGGTATCCACGGGTAATTCACCGTCCCGAAAACATTAATCCGAATCCATATCCGAATTTCAAGTTTAGACATATCAAAACCCGACCTAAAGTGGATACCCAATTTTCGGGTATTTTTGTCCACCCTTAATCAATACAATGCTGCACCTGTCCATATATATTGATCTATCACTCAGGAAGGAAAATGCCCTTTTTTGGAGAGAGAGAGAGAGAGAGAGAGAGACCGAGTCATGTGGGCGGTGGAAGAGGCAGAAGCAGAGGGGCCATAAAATTGACAAACTTGTGTATTCACGACAAAAAAAAGAGTTCAATGCATGCGGCGACATGCATTGTGTTATGGTTTCGCCTTTGGGGGGTTTCATTTTCTGATAACAGACGCTTAAAATGTCAATGTCGTTGTCTCGTACGTGGGTTCGGTCCCTCTATTCCAAAACAGTTACATGAATGCTGCATCATTAATTGAATTACTCCACACAACACACAAAGAAATATATAACTAGCATTCGGGGGGCATTTGTTCATTTGCCCCCCACTTGGCTTATGTTTTTATAGTGTTGTAAATTTTTATATGAATGCATAATAACTACTATGTATGTATGTATGTATGTATGTATGTATGTATGTATGTATGCATGCATGTATGTATGTATGTATGTATGTATGTATGCATGCATGTATGTGTGTATCTCTATTAATTATGATATGTGAATTAATATCATATGATATGCTCATGGATGCAAAAACAGTGGAAAGTGCACACGAGATCGTATTGGGCCTCAGCTCTTGGGTTAGGCCCAATACAAATCTTCTGAAACGAACGGCCCACCGATTTGGGGGTTGTACTTTTCCGCCAAGGAGACAAACAATTGATCAAATTGGTCCGTCAAATATAAAATAAGAGCCTTTGAGTGTATATATATATATATAGGTCGATTTTACACAAACAAAAATGGTATTTAATAAGAACAATAAATTAAAGAATAAACAGACAAAACAACGGAAAAAAAAAACACAATATATGAAATGCTAAATCACAATCACATAATGGCGCATGCATGAACGTTGTCGTCGCTGAAGAGATGATAAAGGGTCTTCTCGTCCAAGATGTTGGAATGAGGTTTGCTGTCGGGAGAGTAACCGTTGAATGCTGTCTGCTGGTCCACGTACTCGGAGGCGTACGGATAAGTGTACTCTCCGTTGTACGGGAATGGCCAGAATTCGGCCGTCCGTCCTGTCCTTCTCACCGTCCTCAGAACCTTCATCCGGTCCACGTACCCTGTCACCGTCACCTTTTGATTCTCCATGTCGATCTCCACCATGTCCACCCCTACAAATATATATGTGTGTGTGTGAACCATCGTATAGTTTTATCATTATATGATTTTGTGATATGTGTGTGTGTGTATATATACATAAACCTTATGAAGAATGTCTGAGAGGGAGGATTTCAACTCATGCATTTTTATTTTATATATCACCGAATACGTCATTGTATATTGAATTTGTTTCTAGCCATCTTCGATATCTTGATATATATGATCATATTTTATACATTTTTGCTAATGTTTTGTAATATATTTATATATATATTCGTCGACGTACCATCGAGTTTGGAAATGGCTCTTCGGACCTTCTTTTCACATCCTTTGCAATCCATGTCCACCAAGAGCTCCACGATCTAAAACCGTATATATATAAGGAACCGTGAAATCAAACTTGAAAACGACGAACGAACGTTTAGTCACGTATATGGAGAAATAAATGCAAGACCAAGGGCGTGGACACGTACGGACAAGGCATTGGATAATCGAAAATTCCCACGTCTCCAACCGGGCATGATACCAAATAAACGACGACCACCTTTGTTATATATGAAACCTTAATTCCTCCAAACACTTGTTTTGCTTCTTATAATCTCTGCATACTCATATTTTTTGTGTGCATATATATAGATATATGCGTGTTTGTGTATTATTGCACGTAAACGCGTTTGCGTCTTGTGAAATACAAACAAAATTATAGTTCAAAAGCTTAATGCATGAGCTTGTGTTTGGGTGTCGCCAGATATATATTTTTCCATTACATACATATATATATATACATATATTTATGGCTGTTACATATTTTGGATATAGAATAATTCAACCCAATTCGGGATTATTTTGTCACGTTGAGCTGGCGATTGCCCATATAATATATGCCGCTATTTGACGTCTGTAAGAATCTTCTCTTTAGGATAAGAATCTCTTTCTTCTGAATTTCTTGGAAGAAAACATGTTGTTTATTTCCTAAGTTAATGAATTATATATATGTATATATATATATATATATATATATATATAATTCAATTAATCTGGAGAAAAAAGTGCTATTTTAGGACATAACCTAGGACAGGGTTTTGATGAACTCCGGTTATCTTCTTCATTAAGACAAGAGCTGTTATAAAGTCATAGGTTCTGAAACCGTGAAGCGTGCAAATGGCCGCAATTACAGCAAGAACCTGCGTGTAATTTCCCTGAAGCTTTCTATAAGCCATTACTTGAAGCAATCATCGTCATCGTCATCATCATCATCATCCATATTAAGTATAAATTAACAATTTCGTTATGCTTAGCTGGTGCCTAGCTGGCAGACGAGTTGGTTATAGAATTTGTTACGATTAGTTAGACTTTGTAATTGTGTAAATACAGTACAGAGTATGGTTTTGGTTCATAATGAGAAAATAAGAAAATTTTCCCTCTCTCGTGTTCTTTCTTTTCCTCTCATTTCAAACTTTGTCGATCTGTTGTGCCAATTCTAATATGGTATCAGAGCGAAGATCTTCTGCTGTTTTTCATCTTTTGGAGACATTCTGATTGATTCTTCTTCGATTGGATTTGAGTTTCTTTTTCTTTTGACTGATAATTTTCTGGGAAAATTCTTCAATTTCCTGGGAAAATGTCTGATAATTCTTCGATAACTCTATCTGATTCACACAATAATCCATTTTACCTTGGGTCAAATGATCAGACGAATCTCGTTCTGGTGTCGAAGATTCTTACTGACCATTCTGATTTCAGTTCATGGCATCGTTCGATGTCTATGGCTTTGGAAGGTCGAAACAAGCTTGGTTTTGTGGATGGAACAATTGTCAAGCCTGCCGATTCTGATCCAAATGCTGTATTATGGTCTCGGAACAACACGATGGTGAGTTCCTGGATTCTTCATTCAGTATCTGCCGATATTGCTTCTAGATTGTTATATGTCAAGACAGCTAAAGGAATGTGGGATAAGATTCTGAAATGTTTTGAGCAGACGAGTGCTCCTCGACGTTTTAGTATTAAACGTCGTATGAATGCTCTTAGACAAGGTTCTTTGAGTGTAGCTACATTTTACAATAGACTTGTTGCTCTTTGGGAAGAGAAGAAGGCGATACAGTCATCGCCTTACTGCAAGTGTGGCAAATGCACATGTGGTGTTGATCAGAGGTGGAATGAATATAATGAGGAGGATTTGGTTATGGATTTCCTGTTCGGTTTGAATGACTCTTTTGAGAGCGTCAGAGAACAGATTTTATTGATAGAGCCATTGCCAGACCTAGAGAAAACTTATCATCTAGTTTCTCAACAAGAACATCAGCGCTCTATTCGCCTGTCATCTCTGTCAGACAATCCTATACTCCACACCTCAGACTCTGCCACAAACATTTCAGACTCTGTTGCAGCTGTTTCAGGATATCATCAGAAGCAGAAGCAGAAACCTCTGTGTACTCATTGTGGCATGTATGGTCACACAGTTAACAAGTGTTACAAACTTCATGGATATCCACCTGGATACAAGTTTAACTCCAAGACATCAGAACCGAAGCAGCAGTTTGCAACTTCTAAAGTTGTCAATTCTGCTAAAGGACCTGTTGCGAATGTTCAAAATGTTACAGGTACTAAGCCCCAATCTAATATACCTGGTAACTCCTTATTATCTGCTGAACATTTGAAGCAGTTGTATATGATGCTTGGAGAACACTTGAATGTGACCACTGCGGCACCGAAGATTACCAGTGCTGGAGCTCCTGAGACCACAACATATTCTGGTAATGATCAAACTATATCTTCATTGATCAGTTTTGCTGAAGTAGTGTTGTCTGCTTTGCATTTGAATGGTGTTTGGGTTGTTGATTCTGGTGCGTCTATCCATGTTTGCATTGAGAAGAGTCTCTTTTCCGACATGAAAACCATTCCAGCAACAACTGTTTCTTTGCCAAATGGTCAGAAATTTTATATCACTTCTGCAGGGACAGTTAGACTTAATGAACATATCATTTTGTCTAATGTTCTATTCATTCCTTCTTTTTCTTTCAATCTCATTAGTGTCCCTTCTTTGTTGAAACAGTCCAATCTCTCATTTCATTTTACTTCCACTTCCTGTTTCATTCAGGATCATACTCGGGATTGGATGATTGGGAAGGCTGATCTTCGTCACAATCTCTACATTCTGGATCCTGCTTTTCAGCCGTCTCTCACTTCCAATTTTTCTTCCTTTTTATCTTCTTCATTCTGTAATGCTTTAGCGGTTGATACCAATTTGTGGCATCAACGTTTAGGGCATCCTTCTATAACTAAAATCAAGAAACTTTCTTCTATACTCAAACTTTCCAAATGTTCAGATGATGTATCTCATTGCAGCATTTGTCATTTTGCTAAACAGAAAAGATTACCTTTTGATTCCTATAATCGTTTGTCTTCTTCACCTTTTGACTTGATTCATATGGACATTTGGGGTCCTTTTCATGTTGTTTCGGTTGATGGATACAAGTATTTCTTAACGCTTGTAGACGATGCTTCTCGAACAACTTGGGTATATTTTCTGAAATACAGAAGTGATGTTCTGGCCGTTTTTCCACAGTTTGTTGAAATGGTTCAATGTCAGTTTAGGACTCAGATTAAGGCAATAAGGAGTGACAATGCACCTGAATTAGCTTTCTCTGAACTCTGTTCTAGGAAGGGGATAAAGCACTATTTCTCGTGTGCCTACACCCCTCAACAGAACTCTGTAGTGGAAAGGAAACATCAACATCTGTTGAATGTTGCTAGGGCGTTGTTGTTTCAATCGAATCTGCCACTACAGTATTGGCCTGAGTGCATAAGGACTGCAGTCTATTTGATTAACAGGACACCCTCTCCTTTACTAAACAATGTCAGTCCTTATGAGATCATAAATCAGAAACCTCCTTCATATTCCCATTTACGAGCCTTTGGGTGTTTGTGTTATAGTTCTACCTATGCACATGAGAGACATAAGTTCAGTCCAAGATCAAATCAAGCAGTTTTCATCGGATATCCTGAGGGTTATAAAGGATACAAACTGTTAGATTTGGAGAGCAATGCTATATACATCTCCAGAAATGTGGAATTTCATGAAAATCTTTTTCCTCTTCTTTCAAAACCGTTGTTAGATACTCAGTCTGACAACATTTTTTCACAAGCAATACTACCTCTTTCAATTCCAGATGTTTTATCATCTGAGAATATTTCATCTCCACATATAGCATCTGTAGATCCTCCTGTTTCTTTATCTACAGATGTTTCTGAAATTCCACAGTCTTCTAATGACAATGATAGACCTAGGAGACATGCTAAGATGCCTTCATATCTTCAGGAATATCATTGTTATTCAGCTCGACATCACACAGCAAGCCTACCAAATGAAACCGAACCTTTATATCCATTGTCATCAGTATTATCTTATGACAAACTTTCTGTCCCTTACCAGTCTTACATTTTTCATCTTAACTCAGAAACGGAACCTAGAACTTTCAAACAGGCTGTGAGCTCAGATAACTGGAAACGAGCGATGGATGTTGAGCTGACTGCATTGCACAATAATGGTACTTGGTCAGTTGTTTCTCTGCCAGAAAACAAGAGAGCAGTGGGGTGCAAATGGGTTTATAAAATCAAGAGAAAGTCAGATGGCAGTATTGAAAGGTACAAAGCGAGATTAGTGGCCAAGGGTTTTACTCAACAGGAGGGAGTTGATTTTATTGATACATTTTCGCCAGTAGCTAAACTCGTTACTGTGAAGTTGTTGCTAGCTCTTGCAGCAATTCAAGGATGGAGTTTGTCACAAATGGATGTAACCAATGCATTTCTTCATGGTGATTTAGACGAAGACATATATATGTCCCTTCCCCCAGGTTACACTTCTGATCATCCATTGCCTGTGAATCCTGTTTGTAAACTTCATAAAAGTCTGTATGGTTTGAGACAGGCATCGAGGCAATGGTATACCAAGTTTAGCTCTGTTCTCTTGGATGCTGGATATGTTCAGTCACAAGCTGATCATACTCTTTTTACTTGGTCATCTGAAGGTTCTTTTGTGGCTCTTCTTGTTTATGTCGATGACATAGTCATAACTGGAAATGATGCTGGTGCTATTCAGAATTTGAAGGCTTTGTTGCGTCTGCATTTTCAGATCAAAGATTTGGGAGATTTGAAGTTTTTTTTGGGGCTGGAAATTGCTAGAAATAAGTCTGGTATTTCTGTATCTCAAAGGAAATATTGTCTTGAATTGCTTGAAGATACAGGATTGCTGGCTAGCAAGCCATTATCAGTTCCAATGGATCCAAATACACATCTGTCTCAAAATTCTGGAGCTTTGCTGGCAGATGCTGATGTAACTTCATACAGAGCACTTGTTGGTCGGTTATTGTATTTGACGATAACTCGTCCGGATATAACTTTTGCAGTCCATAAACTTTCACAGTTTATGTCAAAGCCCACTGAAGATCATTGGAAAGCAGCGCAACGTGTAGTTCGATATCTGAAAACAAATCCTGGTCAAGGATTGTTTTATTCAGCTCAGTCGGAACTGCATCTCAAAGCTTTTGCTGATGCTGATTGGGGTACATGCCCAGACTCGCGTCGTTCCGTCACTGGATTTTGCATTTTTCTTGGCTCGTCTCTGATATCTTGGAAGGCTAAGAAGCAAAACACAGTTTCTAGGAGCAGTACCGAAGCTGAGTACAGGGCATTGGCAAACACAACTTGTGAGCTTATATGGATTGATCATTTGTTGCGAGATTTTCAGGTTGATTATGTTAAACCTGCAAATCTCTATTGTGACAACAAATCTGCGATTCATCTCGCTTCGAATCAGGTTTTCCATGAGCGTACAAAGCACATAGAAATTGATTGCCATCTTGTGCGTGACAAAGTGAAACAGGGGTTTATTCGGCCTATGCACGTGAAGACAGAACATCAGCTGGCAGATGTTTTTACTAAGTCTTTACAGCCTTCTGTGTTTCATGCTATGCTGCAGCGTTTCCAGGTTTCAAGTCTTTTTCTACCGAATCAGACTTGAGTAGGGCGTATTAAGTATAAATTAACAATTTCGTTATGCTTAGCTGGTGCCTAGCTGGCAGACGAGTTGGTTATAGAATTTGTTACGATTAGTTAGACTTTGTAATTGTGTAAATACAGTACAGAGTATGGTTTTGGTTCATAATGAGAAAATAAGAAAATTTTCCCTCTCTCGTGTTCTTTCTTTTCCTCTCATTTCAAACTTTGTCGATCTGTTGTGCCAATTCTAATAATCCAAAACCTTGTAGTTATGGTTTTTTTTTTCTTTTTGATCTTCTCATTCCTTCCTTGGACCCAGAAAACAGCAGAGGAGAAGCAAATGTCCAATTTTTCCGGAGCCCACAGCCGGTTTACGATTTTCGCGGGGGCCATACTCAAAACGCTAAATCCATTAAACCCTAATTCCCATGAAACCCTAAATCTATCACACGAAAGAAAGACAGATGAAGAGGGGGCGGGAGACAGAAAACGATACCGTTTCATGGAATTCCCAAGACGGCGTCGTCTCTGCTGTTTCTCTGACGTGTATTTACCCGTTTGTCACGTCATTGCAGACTAACGGCGTTTAGATGGTTTTGAAGAAATCTTTAAAATGTATGGGTTTAACCGAATTTTAGAAAATAGTTAAGGGCTTGTTTTGCAATTTAATCTAACTTGTCGGAACAAAAAAAGTTCAAAATCAAAACCCCTAATTTCCTAGCTTTACCGGTTCACTTTCTTCCCCCGGCTTCTCCGTCTCATCCCCTCCATCTTGCCGGCGACGATCAACCACCACTGGCATCCGCTTCATCTCCCGGTCCGGCGAAAACTTTACATTCACCGAGTGATTGAACCTTGTTATAGAAATGTTCGCTGGATTTGGACCCGGTAACATTTGAAGTTCACTATCAGTTTCAAGCTTCAGGCCGGAAAAATGGCTTCCTTTCCTCATTCTGGTCTGGTTGCTGTCTGCGAGGTCAACGGAGACTTGAGTAAGCATTGCTCTCAGTTCCCAGTGCTACCCATATAGTGTCGTTTTCGATATGTAATCTGAAAATTGAGTTTAGGGATTTGAATATCTGAGCTTATGGGTTTCTTACCGGATGTCCAAAATGCAATTACGGCTCAGAGTTTATCTGACGGTCGAGCTGAGGAGACTTGCGCAAAGCTTCTCGTACGTGGACAGCTTATGTGCTTTCTTCACTGTCAGTTTCATATAGCCTGACGTGAATGTATATAGTGAGGCTTGTACTGAAGATTCTAGTCTAGTTTCTGATATTTGTCGAATTTGGATTTGTTCATCGCAGGGAATGGTATTCTTCCTGTTTCGTTAGAGTTGGGACCTAACCCTCAGAGTCAGCAGCTTTAAGCAGGAAAATGAACAACAAGAGGGAGGAGATAGCGGAAATGCCGAGAGGAGAGGACTGGTGATGACACTGCAAGTCGCTGATAAACGCCTTTTGCATCCCACTGATGTAAGATTCTTGACAACACGATTTCTCATTGTTACTGTTTAGCTCTTTAAATGGTAGGAGACAGACAATGATGTTTTCAGAGTCCAGATTGACTCTGATGACATGTTTTTGGACAGAATTTGTCTTAGTGAAACTGTGAAAGGACTAAGGCTTCCTGTATTAGCAATTTGGTGAACTGAAGGATTAATTGTCTATGTATGTAGGGGAATGAATGCTACCATACGACGTTTTAGGAAATGGGCAATTGTCTTCTCTGAAATATCAGACAGGCATTTCTGTATCTGTTGAATAAAGCCTTGGCTTGATTTATCTTATCTCTATATACACCATATTTCGGAGATTGATCTTCAAGGAGTGAGTTTGCATCAACACAGGCACATGGTTGCCTTCATTTCTGGACCAAGTCAAGGTTACAATTCGCAATTACGAAGACAAGGGTCCGGTTTTATGTTTCCGTTCCTGCTTCCGCTGCACGTGTTTCGAGAAATTTGATGCACAGTGACTTCTTGTTTTAAACTAGTCCACGCAGAATAGGTCCTGCCCCTGGAAGATATACAGGGATTACCTCAAAAACTTGGAACTCAATTTAGTTAGGCAAGATAATAGATATATAACATCATCACTACTCGAGGAGTAAAGCTAAATATGTCCTGCTTGTTTTACCGGAGATAGCTTCTTTGACGGGCAGGTAAACAATCCAATCGTTGTTAAACTGAATCCTCTCGCGCTAATCTTTTCTTTCCTCGTCTTGCTAATATCGCCTCTGAACAAAATGTAGTGATGGAATTGAGAGGATAGCTTGGGATTCATCAGGTGAGCGTTTGGCTGTGTCATACAGGGGAGGGGATGACAATTACAAGGGCTTGGTTCCCATTTATGACACACGAAGAACACCCATTGTGTCAGCCTCGCTTGTGCAAGTCTTTCCAGGTATCTATTCTTGGGTATTGTCTCAATCAGAGATATAAAATCATCAGACAAATCTCTGCTTTATCATTACGGCGGTTTCATTAGAGGGCCAGGAGAAAACCCTATTCCTCTATTGTTTTCGTTCCATAACAAGTTCAAGGAAGGTCTACTGCTTTCGGTGGTAAGCTAATGTTGATAACGTTAGTTCACAAGATCATATTCACGTTTTATGAACCGGACTCGCTGAACCATCTGGCGATAACAGGACTGTTCTTATCGATGTTCCTGCTGTGTTGGAGCACCGGATTCTGCTGCACATATCCGCTTATATTATGGTCACATGTTCTTCCCTAATCTAAGGACAGAACACATCCGAGTTCCATGAACTTCACTGTAATAACTGCTCGGTTCGATGCATAAACGGTGACTCGTGGGCTTAAAACTCAGAGCTTTGATACTATTCCAGAAAAACAATGGTGGCAAGGTTGTGGCAATTGTGCATCTGATGGGAAATCAGGGAAAAACATTACACATGGGATTCTCAGTCTTTTTCCTTAGACATTCTTGAGCTTCTTCATCTTGGAAGGCGGCCACCGGCCCTTCTTCCTCATCTTCCGCTTACGAAGAAGCCTTTTCCTGCGGAGACGGATCTTCTTCGCCAGCTTCATCTTCATCCTCTGTTCCATCAACTGCTGCTCCTTTGACTGCAGTGGCAGTTCTTCCACTGGGACTACGGCCTTTGGTTCCTCAGTGTTCCCGCCCACACCCGAAGCTGCCGCTTTCACCATCACCATTGCGGCAGGTCTCTCGCGGCGGGTAATACCCGAGTTTGCTCCGAGAAAGATTTGGTTACAGGACGAAACGGCATTGGCTCTGAACCCTAGACGCGACCTGAAAACTGGTAGTGTCATGGAAGAAAAGACTAGGAAAGTCAGATAACAGAAAGCCTCAAAGCTAGGAGAGACATCAATGCCAAGTGTTCGATGAAATGTCTCAGAGAAAGTTCGTCGAGACCAGAGAATTCAGCATAAACCAGAGTAGACAATCACGCATTCCGAATAAACCCAGAAGAATCGAATCAAATTCGAATCCGGAGTCTTTCAAGGTAAGTTCCGAAGACAAATTCCAATCGCCCAATGTCAATGAAGCGAAAGCGAGAAGACCCAGAAAGAGGAAGAAGTACCTGATGAAGGTGAAGGCGAAGGCTGAAGGCGAGAAGAAGAAGAGAGAGAAGGGAGAGAGTTGAAGCAGAGAAGAGCCATCTTCGTACGGACGAGAGGATTTCCTCTTCACTTCCTCATGTGGAGTTTTGGGTGGCTTTGGTTCTGGATAAGCTCTTCTTCGCATCTCGCGTCTTTCAAAACGTCAAATGTCGAAGGGTATTTTCGACCTTTCATCAATTAAGCTCAGGATATGGGACATTTGCAGAGGCAGGCAACGCGGTCAAACTATAATGGTGGTTAAAATCTGTTTTATTTATCACTGAAAATCTAGACTTTGGAGACCAAATATATATATATATATATATTAATGTTTTATCCGATTAATTGTGTGTGTATATATATGAGATGATGTTCCATTTATACGGGGCTTTTGACTAACAAAAATGCAAACCTTGACCGATTTCAGAAGTGAGACTTGTTGTTGACTCGTGACACGTGGCATGATGGGTATTTGAAATTAGGCGGCGAAAAACAGGGGAGATGATGTGATGGCGAGAAGGCTAAGTTAAGGTAGTTCCAGAGACAGATGTCTCTTGTGTTTTTTTTTTGAAGGAAAAAAAATCCAATGGAGGAGGACGAAGCTTTCAAATCCGACAAACAAATCTTATCACCAACCAACAACCAACAAACAACAACAACAACAACAGGAGGAGGAGGAAGAGGAAGAAGAAGAGGAGGGAAGAAGCTGAACGCCTGCAGCAGACGCGGCGTTTCCGAAACGCCGAATTTCATTTCTCTCTTGCTGCTCAAAAGAAGAACCAAGGGAGGGGCGCGTCAATGGACGTGAAGCAGCTGTGGGCGTTTGGGTTTGGCCGCGGATTTTAAGATTCCCTGAGGAAGGAAAAGAGGTTTGATGAAGATGATGAGAAAGAAAAGCTGTCAGGTTCATAGTGCCCCTCCTGACGGTATCCCCATGTCTCTCCAGAGTCCTAAACCCAAACGGATCTACCAGCTTTGGCCCGGAAACAACGTAAAGTCCCTCTCTTTCTCTCTTTCTTTCTTCTGGTTCCAATCCAAATTCTCTTCCGGAGTTGATTCTGGGAGATTTGACAACAAGGGTTTGTTTTTGCCTTACCCCTTGAGATGAACTCGATACCCTTTTATCGATATCGTGAGATTCGTCACTTTCTGATCTGTTTGATTGAACAGTATTGACATCTGACCCTGTTTCTGAAAACCCATGATTAGAATGGAGCTGTGGAACTTCAGCAGCTGGGATTTGTTGTCTGAAAACTTTGATTGATGCGGTTTTTGTCTCTCGTGTTTGCTCCTGCAGAAATTTTGTTGCGGGGGAAGACTAATCTTTGGTCCAGATGCATCTTCTGTTCTCCTGACAATGTGTATGATAGGAGCTCCCTCTATCGGTTTCTGCGTCAGGATGATCTATCTGATCAGACATCACGACCATTTGTTCAACTCTCTTGTCTTGGCCGGTGCAGTTCTGCTCACTGTCTTGGTCGGTAAAACGCCTTTCTCCTCCTCATCAACCCCACCCTGCAATTCTCACAATCTTTCTTTCTGTGTTCTTCTTCTTCTCAGGACTTCACATTTCTGTTCTTGACCTCAGCCAGAGATCCAGGGATTATCCCGAGGAACAAAGAAGCTCCTGAAGCAGAAGGGGCAGATGTTCCTACCCAATCGAAGGAATGGGTGAGCAATAAACTCATTAACGCGAAATTACCTCGAACCAAAGATATAATCGTGAACGGTTACACTGTCAAAGTGAAATTCTGTGATACTTGTCTGTTGTACCGTCCCCCTCGGGCGTCTCATTGCTCGATCTGCAACAACTGTGTCCAAAGGTTTGATCACCACTGTCCCTGGGTCGGTCAATGCATCGCCTTGGTAAGTCTAGTCGGACCATTTCTGTCGAAATATGAGCTTATACGGAGTATCTTTCTTCGATGTAATTTACATGATCTGGTTCTTTTGCAGCGTAACTATCCGTTCTTCATCTGTTTCATATCGTGTTCAACCCTCCTCTGCTTGTATGTCTTTGCCTTCTCATGGATCAGCATATTCAGATTCCACGGCAAGATGTTGATCGATATCCCGTCTGATCTCTTATCGATCATTCTCATCGTCTACTGCTTCATCATTGTATGGTTTGTCGGCGGGCTCACCGTTTTTCACCTCTACCTGATCTGCACCAATCAGGCAAGATTGGAGCTTTCTCATGCTTCATCAAGCTGCATAGATTTCTAACAGTCTTATGACACAACTCTTGTCTCTGAATATGTTGTTTCAGACAACTTACGAGAACTTCAGATACCGTTACGAGAAGAAGGAAAACCCTTTCACCAAGGGAATCCCGAGGAACTTCAGGGAGCTGTTCTTCGCCAAGATCCCACCTCCATTGATCAACTTCAGAGACTTGGCACCGGAAGAACACGACGTGGAGGTCGGGTCCATTGCCTCTGAGCTAGACAGAGACTTTGGCTCCTCGCACAAATACGACATGGAAATGGTTGGTGGCAAGCCTGTCAAGGAGGGGACACTCTTACAGAACTTGGAGTACAACGCCGTCGCCGCCATTGATGATTCGATCAAGAGGAAAGGTTCGGGAGAAGGAATTGCAGCGTTTGACCCGTTCTTCGTCGCGGGTCATCAAGAACCGATGAATATAATGAGAAGCTCCAGCGTCGACGTGAGATCCAGATAGATTCTATCCTGCCGATTCCTTTTTTCCCCCCTCTTCTGGTGAAGAAAAAAAAAAGACGAAGCCTTTGTGTTTAAGGACGCTGGTGCTATAATGTAAACTGTACTTTGGTAATTAAATTCATTGATCTTATGTGTCTTTTACTCGTCAAGCGAGTAAAGTTTTCTGGTAAGTGTGCAGTCTTAGACTGACTCTGTGGCTGTTCATGGTTTCTTGCGTTAGGGGTTACTCAGGTAGGGTTTATAATCGAGATTTCTTGGGTCCCAAGCAAAATAGCCTTTTATATTCAGTGGAAGTAGCCTTTATTTTATATTCACATCCTTTTTTACCAAATAAAAAGAAAGAAAATAATGCGCCAAAAAACAAACAAAGTTCTTGACAAATTACACATATATATATATATATATGATGAGATGTAATTTGACTTTACGGTTATAAAAATATATGGTAAAATAAAATAAGATAGAGAGAAGACAAATGGGTTGTAGCTGTGTGGTGCACGTTGTGTGGGTGGGGGGTTGAGATTTGAATTGGCAAAGAACAACAACTAACACAAATGACAAATTTCCCAGCTCATTTCTCCATCGTTTTATTTTGAATTCTATTAGTCTATTTATATAATATATATAGCCCGAAAATATAAATTTATAAACTAATAATATTTTTTGCTGTAAATAAATCGTGACAACCCATTATCTTTTGTAACTCTTCTCGTATTAAATTATACTCGTTTTGATAATAAGGTTTTGCATAAAATGGAAAAATGAGATTTTTTTTAAAAAAAAAATTGAAAGAGGAGAGAAAAAAAAAGGGGGAAAAGGGAAGAAAGGCTCGCGATTGGCAAGAAACTGCAATTTTATTTTATTCTTTGTTCTGATTCGAGTGTGGAGAGAGAGCAGCGTCGGCATTC